TACTTGTGCAGAATCTGAAAATAATCATACTATTTCCATATAAGGCTAAATAAAAGGTCGATAGGGGTTAAACATCTGCTTTTCCCCCACTTTATTTTCACACAATTGACTCCAAATAGCCTAACATTATTTTCGAATGTATAATAAGTTATATTTAGGGTTACTAACCGGGCATCTATTGAGACGTAGGTTCCTCTAGACCCCTGACTATTATCATATACTGCCTTCCAAATGTTCACCCACCAAAGACGTCCAATACAAAGAGAACACAGCATCTGGAACACAGTTATGGAAGATAAACAACATCACACAAGAGCCTGAGAAAAATATATTGACCTATTTCCTTATAAATAATCATAATACTGTATTTAAGGCAAAAATAAAAGGTCTATTTTGGTTATAAATCTACTTTTCCTCCACTTAATTGAGCCCAAATATAATTATTTTAGAATGTATAATAAGCTATAAAGATGTATCCAGCTGCATCAAGTAAGAGGGGGGTGTATACCTTCACTAAATCCATGCATTTGACCACAATAGAGGTGCACACTGCCCTCAGATCTGCACCAAAGACAGAATAAAGAAGCATAAGAAAAACGTCAAAAATAACAATAACAACACGAGCCTGCAGTCTGACACACTGAAGTCTTTTGTGCTGCAGGTTTTTGTGCAGACACACAGAGAGAAGACACCAGCTTATAATTCAATTTTGTCTCTTCTCCAGATGTCACTTTCCATCTGTGCGTTTGGAAAGGCGATGCGCTTTTTACGCACCGACTCATGTTTGACTTCTTTTTCTACTCCCCTCTTTTAATGTCCACGTGTTTTCTGATGTGCAGCTTCAGATCTTACAATCAATGCAGCTTAAAGGAACAATACAATATAAGTGAGATTATGATTTATTACGAAATATTATAACGGTTTTGCAGTGGTGTAACTAAGTATATTTTCTAAATTGTGCTTAAGTATTACCATTTTATACTTTGTACTTCTCCATTATAGTTCAGAGGTAAATAGTTTACTTTTACTCCACTACCTTTAGCAAATGATTAGATTAATGATAAACAATATGATCAAAATAAGGCTTTAGATACACCTGGATTAAATTCACAATTAGTTCCACCATCTTCAGCTTGATAAACACATTGATGCATCAATAATTATCAAAAACATAAAAATATATATTATTCTGAAATGGGACAATTTGCAGAATGAGCAGTTTTACTTTTGGTATTTAATTTGATGCCAATCATGTTGTACTTTTACTTGAGTAACATTTGTAATGCAGGACTATTACTTGTAAAAGGGTTTTCCTATTCTTTGGTATTTCTACTTTGAGTTAAGAACAAGATCTGAGTAATTCGTCCACCTCAAATGGAAAATAAGGGAATTATTATTGTGGAGATGAAACAGCGGAGCCACTTTTATCTCTGTTTTTTGTTCCCATATTTGCAGGTGACATCTCGCCTTTTATCCATGCTGTCAAATTGAGACATCATCCTAAATTGCCACGAGAGCATCCCCAAAATGAATTTTGTATCTGCTCTCGAGCCCCTCCCCTGCAACACGCGGCCTTATTAATAAACGTTTTGATATAGGGTTTCCTCGGGCGGAGGAGTGAGACATTGTAGGTGCGATGTGACAGCGGGACCCTCCCATCTCTCTTTATCCTCCTCTGTTCCATTGCCTTTTTCGGGGGAGTGGATCCATCCAATCCATCCAGAGACAATGGCATTTTGTTCCTCTTTTTGTCCCTCCTGTCGACCCGCATTCCTATATTGCTGAGCAACGATAGTGCGCACTAAATGGAGAGGAGTTGCTCCCAAATCCCGGCTATTGTGCGCCACTTACCATGGGAATTTAGGGTCTTCCAAACATCGCATTTTGCTGATTTATTTAAGTGAAGGCTTGTGGTTGGAGCCCTTTATTGGCCACATAATTGCTAATTAACCACCACTTTACTTGCATTAAAGGATCATTATGTTACTGTAAATCATACGGCTGCTGTTTGAAAACGGCGCTCAAAACAACCTGCATGAAAAAGTGTGGAGGTTTTACTTCTTAAAAGCTATAACAATAAAATCAATTGCCTTCTTTCCAATTTAATATTCTCACATCCAAACATCAAACTGTGGCCTCTCGTCCCACCAGGACCAGCTGAAAGAATTAAAAGATGTTGAAACCATAAAAGAAGAGGCGTTTCAATAGCTGGTGGACTATGGTGTGAGGACTATGGAGAGCAGGAATAAAGAGCGGCTTCAGTGAAAGAAACTGATGGCTAAAAGCTGTAATTGTATTTGTCTCGGCGAAATATCAGAAAAGACTTCTCGTTTCTTTGAGCGTTATTAGATTAATTCCCAGAGATGGGTGCTTTTCTCGCTGCCAGACGCGTGGAGGGAGGACGGTGCACCATTTGGCTCTTTGGTTTCAATAATCAAATTAACCATTTGGTACAACTTTTAGGGTCCCAGCTCGTGTGTAAGAAAGGAGAAAATAAAACATTAACATAATAGGCACCGGGTTGTGTCAAGAAAGAATTAACGTGTTTCTTTTCTGGCGCTGGTTGATCTCTGAGAAGACAACGAAGAAAAGCGAGAAACAACTGCAACACGTCAGCAATTGTGGGGGAAAGTAATTGATGGCGAATGCGACCGGGACTATTTTAACAGAGAATATAAGAGCTGCACCTTGCAGGGTGAAGCAGAACCAAATTATAAAAGATGCCAAATGTAATCCTTAAATGTCCTTTTCTTTTCTTTTTTAAATCTGAAATAAAAGTGTTTTTTTTTTTTAAATGTTTGTGGTGACAATATTAAAAAAGGCAAATCGTTTCTGATCATTTTGGAGGGACTGACACGTGTACACATTTTATTTGAGAAAGTTAAGATTTAAAAGGGAATAAAGATATTAAATAAAACCACATTTGAACCCTTCTTTTTTTACCTCAGATATTAACCTGTATGTTAATATCTATTTTATTCTCTCCTAGTCCAAATAAATCTTTAATATCTGTCCAGTCTTCTTTAATTTAGATGATGAAATAAAATCAATATTGTGAAAAATAAAGTCAAATAAAAAAAAGGGAAAATTGAGAAAATCTATAATAATCCTATATAATAAAACCTGTGTCAATGGGTAACTAAACCCAGTGTCCGGGGTGATGCTACAGTCCGCGTAATAAAAATAAAATCACTACACGTTCACTCAGGATTATTATAGGATTATTATAGTGATTTTCAGTCTGCTCACAGATCAATCACTGAAACAGGAGCAGTGGTGAACAAATTCAAACATCAAACCCTCATCTGCTCAATTTAATTGTTGCTCCATAATTCCTGTTGTGCGTTTTTGTGTTGAGAAAAAAACCCGCAGCTTCAAACGAGGACTTGAACTCGGTCCAATGAGAAAAAAAACGAAAACACACACGAGTGTAAGCGCCATACAAAGCGGCTCACCTTATTACACAAACCAAATTAAGCACTCAGCCAATATTGTGAGCCTATAAGAGGTCCGAGGACTGCCTCGCCAGTTCGTTACTTTCATTAGAAAGATGTTATTTGCCAAATAAACGAAATAATGAAAGTAATAAAGACAATTACAAACTCATTTGAATCATAAAAACACACCCGGAAGTTTAGCAGAGATTACACTGCAGCAGTGCAGAGGGAGGGGTTGGAAGTGTGTGGTTTATTTGGCATAAAGGGCATTATTAAACCGAAGCTGGTAAATTCGTTTATTACTGTGCGTAAATTGTAATATGATAGGGATCATTTCTAACTTTCATTTATTGCCTTCAATTTTAAAACCAGAAATGGCAAAGGCCTGTAATAATAATGTGTAACAAATAATGCATTGTAATGAGATAAAACAGAGAGAAATTAAACAAAAGGGCAACCGGTACAGTCTGTTGTTATGGACGTGATTAGTGTGCATACACTGTGAAAAAAAAATCATAAAATAATTCATATTTTTCTATAAAAAGAAAAATTGAAAAATGCGATGATTTGCTTCAGAGCACATTTGCTTGTTGCAGTTGTTTTCTTGCAACCCGTGTCCTGAAACAAAGCAGAATCATTATTGTTAAATTGTGCAAAAACATTGTCAAAACAGTCCCGGTTGAAACATGTGATTTCAACTTAGATGCATATTTTTATTTGTGCAGAAAACTAGATTTTAAAGCTCAAAAAGCCGTGAAAACTAAACAAAGAATCAGTGGTTATACCTGTTAAATTGTGCATGTTTTGCAGCTGATAGTGCAGAGACAGAGACAGAGAGAAAAGCGTGGAGCAGACGGGCAGGGAGCAGAGGCATAGGGGGAATACTATGTGAAATCCTGCCCAAGGTATACGGTCGCTTAAAAGGCTTAAAAGCTTGGAGAAAATTGGATCAGGGAGAATCGTCACCCAACTTTCATTATTTCCAAGTGGTGTGATTGAATTAAAGGGCAAGATGGTGGTTGGAGAGGAGTGGGGTGGGGTGGGGTGGGGTGGGTGGGGGTGCGGCGGCGGTGGTGGAGGGGTGCGTAATGGCGTGGTATTAAATTCTAATTAGAGATGCAGGGGATCAATGATAGGGAGGTTGGACAGCCCGGGCCCCCAGTGCCAGCCCAATAGACTGATGAGTTATTGTCATGTAAAAAAGCGCTAGCAATAAGACCAAACGCTTTGCTATTGTCCAAGCGGAAAGAGCCAAGTTTATTATGAGGACTATATGCTCTAGAGACCTCGGGCTAGGCGGCTCTTAGGGGGCTTTTCATAAAACAGGGCTAGGTTCCTATAAAGGAGGCCAGTTTTGGAGCAGGCGCTGAGCAGTGCACATCTACACCGTCCAGCCTCCTTACAACCAGTTAAACCCAAACAAGTCCCCCAAACTCAGACCGCGCGTCCTCATTTTGAGTTTATTTTTATACTTTCCAACCCTTTTTTGTGGGGTAGTTTTTCTTTGACGGTGTTTTTTTTTCACGGGAAGTGCAGCTTTCTTTCTCCACCGAGCCTTCACAAATGTATAAAATGGAGTATTCTTACCTAAATTCCTCTGCCTACGAGTCATGTATGGCCGGGATGGACACGACGAGCTTGGCATCGGCCTATGCGGACTTCAGCTCGTGCAGTCAAGCCAGTGGGTTTCAGTACAATCCCATCAGGACCACTTTCGGGGCCACCTCCGGCTGTCCGTCCCTCACGCCGGGCTCGTGCAGCCTGGGGACGCTGCGGGACCACCAGAGCAGCCCGTACGCCGCAGGTAAGCAGCGGCTCCGGAGCCTCAACCCGGCGTATTATAGGACGCCTTGATTGCATTTGAAAATGGAAATGTGTTTAGTATTTACCAAACGAAATTTGCTTACACAAATGAAAGAATTTATCACGTTAGAAGCGATTGCAGGCAAGGGGTAATTCGGTTACGGGGTTATACTATCCCAGTCACACCCAAAACCGCCAACAGAATTATCTTAAGCTGCCAAAATGATAGGCATAATTTATTTACTTTGCGATGAGACATAAAGCTTCGAAAAATAATTAGATAACCAAAGACTAAAGCTCATTATTGACACCGAATTGGAGTTACAGTAGCAACAAGCGGGGAGGATGGGAACATTATGACAACTTTTCAAACTTGAGCCTCAATCTGTGGAGCAACAATTAGTTTAACATCACAATTAACCGCATCACGGGTCAGCAACGATATCAATTCAGAACTAATTCACAGGTAATCAAAGGCATAATACAATAAGTTTAGCCCAGCACACATAACCGGATTTTATACAAAATATCGAATTTACTTCCACATGACAACACTCCACATGTCTCACACTGCACTGATAACACCACTGCACAACTAACGGTGACATTTTTATTTGGTTTACAGTTCCCTACAAACTGTTCACGGATCACGGTGGGCTGAACGAGAAGCGGAAGCAGAGGCGCATCCGGACCACCTTCACCAGCGCGCAGCTGAAGGAGCTGGAGAGGGTTTTTGCGGAAACTCACTACCCGGACATCTACACCAGAGAGGAGCTGGCACTGAAAATCGATCTGACTGAAGCCAGAGTTCAGGTACACACACCGGCTCTCCAACAGACAGCAACCTGCTGCCATTACGCACGATTACGCACGGATGGATTTATGATGCAAATGACAAAAACAAAAATAAAATGCATCTAAATGTTAACTTTTAAAAGATTTTAGTGAAATTAAAGCTTTAATACTTTGACATGATCAGCCACTAGCACCATCTTACACACACTCGTGCATTAATGCACAAAACAAAGATGGTGTTTGTCTTCAGGGACACATCAGAATTTTTTAATCAGCACACTGATTTAGAGCTGCCTTTGAGACTTGCTGCTCATGTACATTCTAAAATTGAGCCCGAACAATAATCAATAGGTTTAGATTAGTATTGATTGATCTATGTTTTTGTCACCATTCAACACTTCCCTGTGGTTTAACGTTTGTTTTGTACCATTTCTTAATTTCCCAGGTTTGGTTCCAGAACCGGCGTGCCAAGTTTCGCAAGATGGAGCGCGCAGCTGCGACGGCCGTAGCGGCTGCCAAGGCCAACTGCGGGAAGAAGTCTGACCCCAGAGATGAAGACTGTAAAGACAACAAATCCACCGACCCCGATAGCACAGGAGGACCGGGCCCGAACCCAATCACCAGCTCCAACTGCGGCGGACCGAGCCCCACCGGAGGACAGGTCAACACCACCGGGAACGGGCAGGTGGACCAGGTGAAGACCTCCATGTCCGGCGGGATGGGGGTGACCGCAGCGAGCCAAGGCTGGGCCACCAACCCGGGCCCCATCACCTCTATCCCGGACTCTTTGGGCGGCCCGTTCGCCAGCGTACTGTCGTCTTTGCAAAGACAGAACGGAGCCAAAGCTACATTAGTAAAGACCAGCATGTTCTAGTGAGGCAGAAAAAAAAACGTTTCCTCATCCTCATCATCCGGAGACTGAAAAGATATTGCCCATGACAGACTTTAAGGACAATAAAAAGCAGTTAAAAAGAAGATGACAACTATGTTATTTTATTTTTATGCCTTGCGCCGTTTCGTGTGGTCAGTTGACACTTTTGCTGTGAAAATATCCATCTTGACAATTCATGTTGTCTGATAATAACACCGTCTTTGTTTCTTTAACGTGAGATTAGGGTGAAATGTGTCCACTTGTTTCCGGTCATTTCTAAAGACTGAAATCGTGTACTAGTATCAACAAAATGACACTTCTGATGAGATTCTCCATGCGTAAAATACATCTCATCCAAATGCAAAACGCTCCTCCTGTTCTAGGAAACAAAGGACACATTGAAGTCTGAAAACGGGATGAAGTGATTTGTTAAGATGAAAACATTTTTGGCCAAACACGGACGTCTGCGCACTGGAAACGCGTCGTGCCATCAGTGAGCAAAGGGAGCCTCGTTAAGTCGCGTTACATGTCAGAGTTCAACAGCTGCTTTGTTTGGTAAAGAGACGTTTAATGCCCATGACTGAGGATGCTCTCACACAAATCCTCAGTCTGACACAACTAAAACCCAACGAGACGCTGATGCATTTCGCTTCTCTGATCTCTGCAGGACACAATATGCAGTTTCTTTGCAGCTTTTTCTGTTTCCAAGGCTGCTGAGAGTTTAGTTTCTTTAAATTATCGATATAAACACAATTATTTCCACGAGAAAAAAAAGGCACAAACTACTGCAATGTTCACCTCTGACAGGAAATCTGTGTGTTTTGTGTGTCTTTCTACGGCAGTGTTTTTGTGGCTCAAACTGTATAGTGTTAATATGTATTATTGTCTCCTATAGTTGAACCATAGGCCATACTCCCTCGTAGATCGATCATACAAGTCTTTTTGATGTTTTACAAAATTCCCTCGGAAGAATTTATTTTGGGTATAAAAAAAGGGAATGGATGCAAACATTGTATTTATTTCTATATCATTTGCATGTTGTCTCTTTGTCTGATTTTACAATGAGTTCTCTTCCATTTTGTGAGCATTATGTAACATGTTTTGTCCAGGATCTGAAAGTTATTTATATGTAGGTAATGAATGCTTATATTTAAGAAGGAAATATTTCTACATGTGCACATAGTTTTCCAGGTGTACCATTCAAATGGTTGTTGATGATAAAAAATAATAATAGTCCAAGTTGCTTTGTCATGTTTTTCTTTTGGTTAATTAAATTATATTGGTTTATATCTTATTTAATCGTAACATCTTTAACGAAGCTTTTTGTAATCATTACTCAAATACAACGTGGTGGTCGTTGGAAGAAGGCGGACACTTTTCAGCACCACGGACAGCGACGCACCGATTACAAATAAGCTTTTTTCCCCAAAACATTGTTAAAATACTTGCATTTGGAGTAACATAATTACATGTAGTTGAAATGTTAATATACAGAATTAAATGGGGGTTTTTCTGAGATATGACAGTTTGAAAAAAAGCTCCAAAGAGGCAGAGAAAATGCAGTCAACTTGAGAAAATACGGAAACCATGCCATCTACATCGGAAACAAAAAACAGCCATATGTAAATCATATTCAAGACACCAATATTTAAAGCTCAACACTGGGCTTTGAAGGTGGAAGTTTAAAAGTTACATAACAGGTTCAGATTTTGTGTAACATCTGCTTGACCAAGAAATGAACCAACACTGTCATGTCAGGCCTCACTCCTCTAAAGACAGTCCTGTATTGCTTTCACATCTAATGTATGACAGTATTTGTAAATCTGGGGTCACAATTGTTGGTAATAGCTACCAGAAATGATGAACCCATGAAAAACAACTCGGATGCATTTTGTTGGCAACACTCTTGAAAAATGCACAATATTCGATTGAGCACATATCCGACAAGCCATTTATACAAATCTGGCTTTAAGGTAAAAATGAATCGGTGAATTGAGGAATCAGAAATTACTGATTGTTTAAACTGTAACAATAGACTTTAATATCACGTCCTTTTTTAAAGCCTTATTATTTAATTAATTGTCTGCTTATACTATTCTATCTGTCGTCAGCCTCAATTAAACGTAGGAGGTTAAATACAAAACAAATCAATTAACAAGCGCTGCAGCAAAAACGTATGGAAACGTATTTTCTAAAAATATTTAGTGAAGCAAAATTGTCGGTTTCCTGTTTCACTTCTTTGACGCAATTGAAAATCTTTGAGGCGGTGCATTAAAATGTTTGAATAATTGGAAACAATAAAAGACAGAAGCACAGTTTTAATTTATAACATTTTATTTATAAACATACAGTATGCTATAAATGCCATTGCATTTAAACATCAAATGGATCTATATTTCAGATAGTGTTCAGGTGAATATTACAATAAATACAGAACAGACGTGAAGGTTTTCGTTCCCAGACTATCCTGTCTGAATGAGCTCCGTCTCAAAGATCCCGCTATAAGAGACTCAGATGTTTCCATTAACTAAATGAGAATAAAAAATAAAATACAAACCGGAACAGAAGCTTAAAATACTGCAGATCAGAGAGAGGAACCCGGAGGAGAAGCGAGGCTATAGGACGCACTTCAGTTTGCTTTCATACAGCAAATCATTTGGTTTTAGGCTTAAAACGTGCATTTATTTTTACATCCATAATATTTAACCGAGCTCTTCTCATACAAGTCCAAAAAAGAAAAAAGCAATTGACTTAAAATGTCCAGCCGGCAGCACAGATCTTTAGTTTTCATCACCAAATATTGCACAGGTGCTGGTTTGTGTTCATATTACCTCTAAAGATGCAACATGTACTGCTGATTTTTGTGTTTCTGCAATTGTATTAAATGAATTCTACCACTGAGCAAATGTCAAAATTACCTCAATATCATACAGAAGTCTATATCTCTCTAGAATAAAACAACATTCAAAATCAAAGGTCTCTCCTGCAGTATATATATTTCCAAATAGACAACACATGTATTCCTTTGCACTGCAGATCACTGAGGAATCACAGAGGGGGGGGGGGGGAATATGAAATTACGGTTGTTTTTAATGTAAAATAAGCAGTACTTGAACTGAAGTAAAGCAGATGTGAGGGAGGGCTGCAGTCTAAGGGTTCACATTTGGCCATAACCCCTCCCTACACCCCAAAAGAAATAAAAAATAAGGAGAAATGAAACACCATACAGCTGGTGTTTCCCTCCTGCATCACCTTGCTTTCCTAAGGCACATTAAAGTCCTGACTTTCAGAGGAGCAACCTGCTATGACCCAAAAGCACAGCGAGTCAGTTGTTGCCCTAAAGATGCAACTATACGTCCATAATATGCGTTTATATATCAGAAGCTAATTGTATTCAGGGGAACAGAACAGAGACAATGTGAGGGTCAAAACACGGTGACTTACTGACAATATACATGTGTTTAGAGTGACCGTTACTGCACTGTCTACATGTTTCTGTATGTGACTTCTATTTGAATCAAGTACTCGTTTGAAAAAGGGCACAAACTTTGGTCAGAAGTAATATCCTTAATGTCTGAATCTTTAAATGTTAATTTCCCTAAATGTCCCATTGCATGTCTACTGGGTCTCAAGCCAGATGGCAATGTTGTAAGGACTGCCGATCGGCTCTGGACATTGGGCTGTTTAGCCACAGAAAGACTCGTCCTGCTAAATTGGCTGGACCTGCTGCATATGGAGCGTGCATCTTCTCTGCTGGGGGGTTTTGAGGCGAGACAGGAGGATTACGGTTCACTGTCCGCAGCACTCCTATCTGACCCTGTCAATATGACATCTCCTGTGTAATGTCTTGTGTATCCCCCCCCCCCCCCCCGTTATGTCTTGTTTAGTTGCGAAAGGAAAAAAAATAAAAAGGGCACAAAATGTGTGATATTTTTCAGATCCAGTCTGGTTATAAAGAAATAAATCCATCCTAAGCTGCCTGATCACATATTCAGTTTTCTTATCAATTAAGGGAGTCTTTATCCAAATTATGAATTCCTAAATAATAATGAGTAATATGCGATATACTGCATTTCCATCATATGGAATTGAATGTGTTTTCCAACTCGGAAAAATGATTATGATTGGTAGTAAAAGACTTGAACACCATATTTTTCTTATTGCGTGTTCACTGACAGCGTAGACGTTCACTTTATAATCTAGCTGTGTTCGAAGCATCTTATTGTGTTTGCTTTCCAACATGGCCGCCGCCCCAGAGCAGTCTCTCTCGCTGCATGATGAAACAGGTGGTGGTGCGTGGACCAATCAAATCCTCTCGCATATCAGATGACATAAACACGAAGAAGATATATATATATTTTTCAGACGTTAAGACTGTCCCCCGTTTGCCCCCTCCCGCCCCCACGATGAGTGTTCATTGGTAATGGAGCTGCAGAGAATCCCGACACGCTGTGAAGGACATGACTTTGCAGAGAATTGGTTTTGAAACAGAGATGGGGTTTCTTCCGTGAACCGAGTGTGTTTTTCTGTTGAGCGTCACAACGTGGTTGGCTGTCCGGCCGCTTGGAAAGGGAAAGAGAAAATGATGAGACCCCGTCATTTATTTTATTAACCACAATTGTTTTGGAGGGGTTTTAAAAAGGTCAAGGACATGCAGCTCTAATGAAAGGGGTAATGACTTCTGATTTGATTCTGTGGGTTGTGCTGATCCCCAAATGATAACAGCTGCTGAGGGGAGGTTCATGTGAGCGGTGTCTTTCAGAAAATGAACTTTTGTTCCTACAGACAAGGTGAAAGACAGAAAGTTACTGCTATCCTCTCCCTGCTTCAGATCCAACCTTCCAGCCTCACTGTGCCACTTCTTTATTAAAGCTGCACCGGGTCGGATTTCTATATTAAAATACACTCGTCTCATGAGCCACACAGCGGGGCTGCAATAAAGAATTTGGAAAACACTGTACACTTTTTTCTATCATAACAGTGTCAGGTTCACTCTGAAAACAATAAATCACAACAAACCTTTTTCTACCTGGTTTATGAGCGCCGTATTTACACCATCACCTTATTGAAAACTGCATTTATTCATCAGGCAAAATATGAAATATGGCTGACGTTAGCAAACAATAAGGAACAACAACACCTCACTCTTTTTATAATATTAGAACATGATTAAACTCTCTTTACGAGCATCATGCAGAGAGGTTATGCACATATTTCTGCTGGTTGTGCTTTTGGAAATTCCTGTTTTGAATGGATTTAGGGAATATGGAGACAGAATGAAAGGGGGTGAGACTAAAAAGGGAGAGATGGGGGAGGGGGGAGATAAGTGGAGGGACTCACAGCGGGAGCGGGTGTAGCACTGGTGGCAGTTGAGGAGGCCGTTTCTGATCCGGACGTCCGTCCCCGTGGTCGTGTCTCCTAACATTCCCTTACACACCCCGCACTGAAGGAGACAGTGACAGACATTATGATTAATATGAGTTGTATTCAGGTAAAAAGGACAAGATATAGCAATTGTTATTTTATAGGTTTTTGTCAAGAAATTCCAATTAAAGACCAAAACCAAAAATCTGTTTCTCAATATTCTTTTTGCTCTTTTGGTAAGATTTTAAATATGCAAACATTTAATTTGTTGTAGTGTAACAGCCCAGACTGAAAGGCAAATTAGTTTGGGATTGTTTTTTATAATATGTATTTTTGGATGCACTGATCCAGCACCTATGTGGCTTATGACATCGTTTTTGTACAATAGCTCCATGGCACAGAATCTTAAGCTTTGGATACAATCCCAATACCTGAGTTTGTTAGTTGGATCAGTGCATTGTTGGTTTGTCTCTTTCCACGGATTTCATGATAACATAATAGATTATCATCCCTTTTATGCTGTAGGCTGCATTCACGAAAAATCTGCACTACAAAAACCCGAAATCTTGCCAAGTATATTTGTCTAATATCTAGTCAGAATATGTCTCTACACCTGATATAAGACATAACAACGTCAGAAGTAACACTGCAGTGAGATATCAGGTCTTGTTTTTAGACAAAGCATCATCTTGTTAAGTCAAAACATCTTATTTTGAGTCGTATCTCAGATTGTTTTTTTTTCACATATTTATTGGAAAATCACCAACATCAGAAAACAGAACACTTTTGAGCATTTGCGGCTCATATTGTAACACAACATTTCCTGATTCTGGTGAAATATAGTTCAAAATGAGTTCTCCGGCTAATTACAAGATCTGATTTATCTAAATATCCCATGTTATTCCAAGAAATCTTACCTAATTTTCACTTGTTCTATTGGCAGATCTTTGTACTTATTTCAAGTGAAAACAGCTTGTTTTCATTATTCTTTAACTTGTTTTTGGAGCAGCATTTTTTCAAGTGTGGCGATGCAGTGATTAGCTGTGTTGCTGTGTTGCTGTGTGGCTGTGGGAGTGTCTCTTAAATGTCACATTTAGGTTAAAGGTGGGGTAGGTAAGTTTGAGAAACCGGCTCGAGATACACTTGTTGTTATATTCCATGGAATGCTCTTAACATCCCGATAGCAATGAAAATCTTAAGTGCTTTGACAATAAATCCATAAAAAAATGTCATCTGTGGAAGCCGTAATACTGTAAAAAGTACGACCAATCATTTTAGCCGGCCCGGCTAAAATAACTGGATGGCCTACCTGCCTGTCAGCCTTCCATCTGTGCACAAACTTATCTCGTGCCCTCATTGGTCATGTGCGCGTTCGTGTGTGTTGGAGGAGGGGCTCTGTAAGGAAGTGGCAGATTTTCTCCGGCTGTGTATTTTCAAATTCTAGCGCACTCGAGCTGGTTTCTCCAAAATTACCTACCCTACCTTTAAGTGAGGTTGTTAACTACATCCTGCCACTGTAGCACATGTATTGTTTTCTTTCAGAGCATTTTATGATCTTGCCTCCTACGACCGCATTTGAATGTCATTAATTTCACAGCGGATGAACAAGAAAAGGCAGTGCTAGCTTGTTGCAGGAAATTCGTTATCAAGTTGGTAATCAAGTTCCCAACAGAATCGCTCCAATGTTTCATTTGAGTTGTTTGTTTTGAAGTTGTTTTTGTCCCTAACAACAGTAGGATGTTTACTGGTCTCTCTCACAGACTCTCTGGTCATGTGATTGACCAACGTAGCGCAACATAGGGCTGTGTTTCTCCAAAAGTTGAGTGTGTTTGAACTTTTCTATCACAGCTAGAACTCATACGCACAACTATTTTCGAAGCTCCGCCTACTCCATGTGAATAATGTCTTCTTACACAACATTCATATTGATAATGGATAATTCAATCATTCAGAAAAAGGACAGTGAATGTCCTGTCACTGACCTTAAAGCATTGGATGTGGAAGTACAGACTGAGGGTCTCTATGATCATGGCCGCCCCCTTCCCTAACGCCTGCCCACAGCTGGAGCACAGCTTCTTTCCACTGATAGACCTGCAGCAGAGAGAGAGAGAGAACAACGAGAGAGACTAAAAACATGATACGAGAAGGGACTTTAAATTGTGTACCGACTGAATATATACAGGGTATATGCAGGAAGTCAAATGTAAGACCTTTTAAGACCTTTTTTAAGACCCTTTCCATACATTTTAAGACCTCATCGCCACTTTGAGTTCTAACCGGCGACACACTTTACCTCACATTTACTATATACAGTATTGATTGTCCTTCCTCCTTATCTTCCAACCATTTGGACGCAGACTTGCATTTCCCCATAATGATGTTGTTTAACAACCGGCGTAAACGGACCTTCGCGCGCTATCAAGCAGTGAGCGTGCGATGTCCTGTTCAGATGACGTCAAACCCAACGGGATTCCATAAATAAACTACACAGAATCACACTACACACCTACGCAATGATTACATTCAGGCAGACTGTAGAATACAACCTCTTTGGACAATTTATATACTTATTGAAAACAAGCTACAAAATGTAATACCTTGGAAAATGCCGTTTAATACTTTTTAATAGCCTTAATTTTCGCTTAATTGATTTATCAACTTTGAATACTTTTTAAGACCCCGCGGACACCCTGATATAAGAGAAACAGTTAATATGTTAATATGCTGTTCAAAGATTAAATTAAAAGGTTTTAATGTCATATACACAAAGCTACAGTGTAGAAATGGCTCCTCCAACAATCCAACATATATAATAAAATACAAAAACACAAAATAAAAAGTAGTGCAAAAAGTCTACGTACATGTAAATAGAATATGATATGTACAGAAGAGAATATGAAATAAAATAATGTATATTAAGACAACATTAAATACGGTTTATTGCGTTGATCTCAGGAGTGTAGCAGTCTTGTCAGTGCACTGAATTACAAAATAACAGCCACAATCACAAATGAAATTCCCACTGCATTCAAGGGTCTTTGCTGCAGTGTGACGGGTGGAGAAATGCCGGCAACAAAGCAGAACATGACGGTGCAGAAATGACCCCCCCCCCCCCTGTTTGTGATGCAGTACCTGTTGGGCGCTGGAGGCAGAGTGTCTGGAGGTGGGGAGCATGCTGCGGGGGGTTTTGATGAGCTGCGGCACATGTTATTTTCAATGGGAGCACTCCTGGAAATGGACAGCAACATGCAACATGATGAGCACAGATGCAGCGACTCTATTGGCTGCCAGAGACCAATCAACAAGCTGGACAAACAAAATCTACTCCGTGATGTCTGGGCGAAACCCCGGCCTTCTTTAATCTTTAAAATGTGGTGTTGTGAGTAGTGTGATTGTTTAAAACACATCTCTTGTCAAAGACTATTTTTTTCTTCATGTGGAGGAAGACTGTGGCACCAGACGCCACCTGCTGGTCAAACAGGTGAACTGAAGGTGTGACTATAAGAGCCACTGAGTTGCTTTAAAGTCAAGATTAAATGTGATTGTTTACTATTAGGTTCAAATAAGCAGTGGTGTGGTACCTCAGGTTCAGACTTAACACATAGATGAATTTTGTTACGTAAAAAAGTAATACAAGGCTATAAAACAATGCTTTAAATGGATGTTTTCTAAAATAATACTCATGCAATCAATGCAAAAGCAGCCATGATATAAAGGAACAACTACACCTCACCTTTATATTTCTTAAAAACATATTGGTGTAATAATAGTGTAGTGATATAGTGTCGTAATAATAGGTTCATACTGAGGTGGTAACCTGTGCTGCTTATGTGTCTTAAACCCTGCATAATCATTACATTGTTTGTCCTCTTAACTCGTAATACACAATAGATAAATGCATGTCAAATTAAAAAAGGACTGAAATCAGACTATGAACTCCAGGTTTTGTTTCAGAACCTGTACTGAAGGCCCCTCTCACACACACTCACACACACCTCCTGTCTCCTGCAGCCTTGCTGAGCTTGTTGCTGTCCGCTGGAGTCTCTTCTGGTTTGTTCACTGGAGTCGAGGTTTTGTTCGTCATCGCAGGAAGTTTTTGGCCGTTCTGCAGACTGTGACCGAGGGCGTCTGCCTGACTGCTGCTCTGACTCAACAAGCTGAGGAACACAAACATTTTTACACGAGTCACATGCTGTGTTTTATTGTTTTATTAAAGTGCACCTATCATGCTATTTTTAGGCACTAGCATAGGTCTCAGATATATAAAAATATATAAAAAACATGTCTCTGAAGTGTTTTGCTCCAAATACCAAACAGATCACCCATTCTAGCCATGCCTCATATCCCTCTATTTCACTTCCTGTTTCAAAAGTGCTGATTTGGGGTATAAAGCTTTAAAACATTTTTTAAATGATAACAAATAAAAAAGGAGGGGTCTGAGCTTATGCGGGACTCGGCAGCTACTGTCTAAACTAAATACTGCCGTGATGAAACGCCATATCATGGATTATCAAGGATTATTTCTGAACCAGTATGGAGCTCAAAGGCTTTCTCTCTTGCCGGTTATACCTCAAGGTGAGTTCCTTTTTATTTCCTGCTTCTTCACACACATGCTCTCCAGTACAGGTTAGCTCTGACTGTTAGCGATGCTAATGTAAACATGCACCGACCATATTACGTCCAAAACAGTCGGGCATTGTTTCTGATAGCAACGTTTCTGATAGGGCCGTGGGTGTAAAGCCAGCCTACATTTCAGATATTACGTCATATCGGACGCAAATCTGGATCAGCTCCGTTGTAGCCCCGTTTTTAGAGATTTGGGTACGGAGGAAAAAAGAGAGGGTTTTATTTTCTGACGCTGCGTGAGTTCCCTGACACACTGGGGACACATAGTTATGTATAAAAGACATAAAAAAGTGCATTTTGCATGATAGGTCCCCTTTAACTTTCCTTTACGCTGATCCCACTGGGATTTGAATATTTGAAGCACCCTTGATGGAACCCTGACAAGAAAGCAGGGTTGACAAAAAGTTGCATAAACACAACAATCAAATGACCACAAAGTGCTGATCTATTGAAAACACATAGGTGTTCCCCAGTTTCACTAAACAGTAAAAGTCACTGATCACATGAAATGTTAATTGGACATACTGTGCACACATGTTTCTTACATGATTGAAATGAACCTGGTGACACAGAGGCCTCGTCTTTAGTTGCTAATTTCTATGTTGTCAGCTTATATGTCTATAATTCGACATTTACCACTTGCGGACAGGTTGCTCACCTCCTGGCTGTTTTCATGCTGTCGTCAGCAGTGCTGATGTCACTGGTTCTGTCGTTTTCCCTCCGTTTCCATTCAACACTTTCTGTGCTCCCCTTCTGTGTTGTCCAATCACAAACAGGAAACAGTCAGTTCACCCTTAGATGCATAAGTGGGTCTTTTTTGACCCGGTGAGGTGGTTTTCTTCTTTGTAATTACATTTTTTTTATCATTTCATATTCCAGCTATTCCTCAAAAAACATGTTTTGGATATCATGCCATTCACATTTTATATATTTTAAGAAATTGTAGTTTTTGTATTACTACCCCAAGCTTCCATAAGTGACTCAAAAATAATAATAATAATACATTATATTTTTATAGGGCTTTTCAAGGACATCGCTTTACAATATAAGGGAAGGTTAGGGTGGGGGTTATATGACTATCAAACTTGATCAACCGGCATGGATTGATGGGGGGGGGGGGGGGGGGGGGGGGGGGGGGGGCTATGAGTAGACAAGAGGAGAAGAGATGAGTTTTGAAAAGGGACTGGAATACTGTGAGGGTCTCAGAATAGCGGAGATCTTTGCATCGATATGTTCAAAACGTTTTTTTTCAAAATGTAAAAAAAAATGTCTAAAATTATAAATAGTGAAAAATTAAATATAAAATATTTCTAGTGTGAACCAAAATATAATACTAAATATTATACAAGTGATTTTTCTTAACCAAAATGACAAAAATGGCATAAAAACACATATTATTCTAATACGGGTCCTTTTTGACCCACTTATGGAAGAGTGTAGGGTCCAGTCACTCGGGCATCTAAGGGTTAAAAACCAATTAAAAAAACACAACACTGTTGACTCAAGTTATTCTAACTTATTGTCCTGACTTTACACTGAATGAATGCATGCTTCAACCAAACTATCCCTCATCATTCATCAGCCATTCACCAACTGGCTCTCCAGCAGTTCCTGTTTGCGCTCCCAGTCGGCCAGCGAGCGCACGATGGTGTCCTGAGGCTCGGAGCTGGAGGAGATCTCCCCTCGGGTCGGGGAGGTCAGGGTGGAGGAGCGGGGAGTCAGAGGCGCCACCGTCTCCTCCAGTATCCTACGCTCCTGTGTGATAAGATAAGAACTTTATTGATCCCACACTGGGAATATATACCTGTTTCAGCAGCTTGAGAGTCAAAAGCAAAAGTAAGAGATTGAGTGATAAATGAAACGAGATAAAAACTACACAAAATACAGATATCATGTGCATTTACCCATCATTCATTTATGATGCATGATGGGTAATTGCACATACAAACAAATGGTGTGTAGCATTGTACTAGACATTTTAAAAGCAACATATAATATAACATATATTACTCATATATAACAGTATGGGAAAGGTGGAAGAGTTATCAAATAAACATCCATACTATTATTCGATACATTTTTGAGACAGCAAATACTTTTCCTTCAAATAAAAACACAACAAAATATGAAACATTTCACACACATCTTGCCATCAAGCATCAACACACACACACACACACCTCCTCGTGGTACTTCCTCCCCTCCTCTGCCACCTCCCTCTGGGCTTTCTCCCACTCCTCCTTCAGCTTCTCCTGCTCACGCCGGTACTTTTCCTGTTACCATGGCAACAGACACATTACATATATACTGCACACAGCCTCAACAAAGACTGAACTGTCTACAGGAGGATATTTTGGCAGGAAAAATATGTTTCACGAGCTGAAATATCTGGAATCAAAAGGGTTCGAATCATTTTTAAACCAAGAAGGGACTAGACTATATAACATGTTCATTTAAGATTCCCTCAGAATATACTTTTAATATAAGCCTTGTCTTAGAGACATATATGAATGCATTGGTTAGCTTCTCCTCTGTTATAGCTAATCACTTGCTCAGATCTGATATCTGTGTGTTAGGAATACAAAGCAAACACAAAAGACCAGAAGCAGGCACTGGGGAGGAAAAGTAGAGCATGCAGAGGTTCCTACACAATTTGTCTCAAAAGCTTCAATATTATTAAAGTTGTTCCTTCATGTACATTAATATAACAATCACTGACATTAAAGATTAGTCCAGACAACCACAAAGTACTCTTTTTAGACTTGTGTAGGAGCCCCAAAAGAAGGCAAACATTTAAATATTAAAGATTTTGAGAAAAAGCAAATTAAGCTAGACAGATGACAGATAAAGATCGATGCACAGAGACGACACAGAATCAACCGGGAGGGGGGGGGGGGGGGGAACAAGCTCATCAATGCACCACATTCATCCATCTCATCTCAAACAGTCAAACAGACAAACGAGAAATCTGTACTCGGTTATTTAATTACAAAGATGATACTGCAGATGAGTACAGTACATCATAGATTCTAATTTAAATGTTTAAACTCTGTGGACCTGAGATGCAGCTCTGATTGGCTGAGGAGAGAGAGGGTGATTTGGGCAGCAGCAACAGCAGCAACCTTGGACAGAGCCATTATCTGTGTGTGTGTGTGTGCATGAGATGGAGACAGTGAGCAGAGGTTCCTCCGCTGTACAAAACTGCCCTCTAGTGGTCAATGTGTGCATTGCAATGGTTGGGGTGTGCCTCAACAGAAGGGTATGCTTAATATAAAAACAAACATGAAGGCAAGCTTTGCAAGTAGCAATGACATGTGATCTATCCATCTGCATCTGAGATGAGCTGACTGCCACACAGCAGCTTAAAGTGCCACTGCATGATGTAAAGAATGCAGTGAAGTATCCAGTGGCGGACTGGCTAACCCCGATGGGCCGGTACTGAAGTGGGCCAGTCGGATAAGTCACTAGCACCCCCCCCACCCCCCCCGTTGACAATTTGCTAGCGGTATTTACTAGCGGTACCGAGGTGGGTCGAGAGTCCCGGGCTGTTTTTTAGTCCCAGTCCGCCCCTGGAAGTATCCCAGTAAGTGGCCAAATATAGGCTTAAAACAGGGCTATACATTGAAAACGTTTTAGTAGTAACTGTGTAACTATTTTAGCAACAGTTGTCAACATCCATTAATTACCCAATCAATACTTAATGGGCGATTATGACTGGCTTATGCATTGACTCATGCATCAAATCTGCCTTGCATGCTAAAAACAATATGCAAAACAAATCCTTAACCTAGACCATCCTTAACCCAAAGAGTGAGTTGAGACGATGCATCCGGAATTTGAAGCCAGTTAATATACTGGAGTTTCTATTATAATTTATCCCAGAAAACTATTTTCTGCCGTATATTTTATTTAACAGAGATACATTAAATATTTTGTCAAAACATTATCCTTTTATGAGTTAGCAACACATGTCAGAGCCTAATGTAAGGAGCAGCTGCTGAGCAAATGATCATATTATTCCTACATTTATTCACATATTGACTGATAAAGCTATTCATGCTGTGAAGACAACAATTCAAAACAACTCTTCCAGTTTGTGGCTTCATTTGGGATGATCTTTTTTCCTATAGGCTGAGAGTTTTAGAAATAGTTTGTTCACTAAGTTGCTAAAACACATTGGATATTCATAACTAAAAGTCTGCTTTGCACTTATCCCTCACAGTGCCTTGTTTTACGCTCTATGTTCCATGGGACCCCCTAACCTTGCGGACTCATGCTCCATGCTGTGCTCTCAGCTCCACTGTGTACCTGCAGCATGCGCTCCTGCTCTTGCTGCCACCTTTCCTGACGCTTTCGCTCCTCATCCGGGTCCCAAGACAAGCGGTCCCCCCGCCTGGCCTGGGGCAACCCCGGGACTGACACCTGATAGACCCCAACACACACACATGCAAAAATACACACACCACACACGTATTCATGCACACAATCACAAATACACCATCATTCACACACAACCAAAACACACTCACCCAAGCACGAAGCCAACAAGAGACCATCAGATAGATATGGCCCCAGGCACACACACACAGATAACACACAGATCGTCACCAATGTGCACACATATCCACCACAGGAAAAGAAGAAGGGAAGGGAGGAGACAGAAATAGTTTGTCTACCACAACAGCACTACTCCAATGCTAGCCAAAGGATTCCTACTAAAGGAGAGAGAAGACAGAGAAAGAGAGAGGTGAGCTCAAATGAAAACAGAAGCAGTCTCGGCCGTTTTCTACAGCATCCTCATCTGGCATGCTACACAGCTCTGTGCGCCCTGGGATATGTGGACGAGCTTTGCAATATGACAGTGTTCATAAAACTGCACTAAAAACTAACGTCTGATCTCACATTTTTATGAAGAACTAAGTGGCAGGGAGTCTTCTTTTATATATTCCATGGTTTACTTTATGTTAATACTTAGAATACCTTTTCTATAAGATACTTTGTTGGTTTTTTATTAATCTCACCTTCAGATGTATGTAATGTTTTCAGAAATAGCTTTCACTGTGTACATTTACTCAGTTAAACTACACTACTGTATTAACCCTTGTGTTGTGTTCAAAAGCTGTTACCGTTCATGGTGTTCGTGGGTCAATTTTGACCCATGATTTATCTCAGTCCAAAACCCCAAAAAATAATGACTATCCTCCAATATTGTTTTAACTACATCATAACTAACTTATTATGCATTCATAACCGTACAATCCTGTTGTAATTTTATTGTATGGCCCAAAACACATTACACCACATATTGCACACGTGCATGTGTGAGTTCAGGTTCAAGTGTTACGGCCCGTCCACACAGCAGCGTTAAAAAAATCTTGGCGGTGGGCGTATCTGAAGCTTGGGGATCTTTTGCGAGCAAGGCACCAACAACCAATCACATGAATCTCCCGCCCCCGACATACGAAGCAAAAAAGCCCGAAGTAAACTGGATATAAACTCCCCAAACAGGCGAAAACCTACCACTGTCTCTGCCACCTCCCTCCATGCCTGGCTCCTCCGGTTTATATCCCGGTAGGTAAATAGGGACTGGTCATAAAGCACCGGGTGATTCCCTACCGCTAATTTCTCCTCCATTTTTTGGAATATGAGGAAATGACCTGCGGTATGTCTCTCCCAGCATACACGCCGTTTGATTGGCTAGCGCTTGAACTGTCAGATTTGCATACACGGGATTTGATTGGCTGACGCTTCCACCTCAGCTTCAAAAGTTGAACATTGCTCAACTTTGAATCCTGAAAATCCTGAAAATCTCTGCTCTGCTGCCCACAATGCCGTTCGGCGAAAAGTGAGGCAAAGTGACGTCACCCCATTCAAAGTGAATGGGCAGAAGCGTTCCAAGATTTTTTAACGCTGCTGTGTGGACGGGCCGTTAGTGTACATATTCTTTGAGAAAGGTGGAGTTCCCGTGGAGGGAGGGGAGACCAGGTGCATGTTGCGAAAAATTATTGTTACAGTGGATGAAGGGGGAGGGGCGTCTAAAGTCAAAGATGAATCTTGATTGGGCCAAATTTGACCCCGAGTCACCCAAAACAATTCTGCTGGGTCTCCCCAGACCCGAAGACCTTTTGACTTGGCTAAAATTGTCCAAATCAGTTTTGTAGTGTTTATATAGTGGAGGATATCATGAAGCCTTGTTCCGATACAAAAAACTAGAGCTTAGTTATTATATAATTTTAACTTGAAACGGGTCACGGGGGGAGACCCGAACACAACATAAGGGTTAATGAGATAAGCCAGATGAGAAGCAGTAAAAGGTTTCTTTCATAGTCTGACCACAACATATTATGCGGCCAGGTGATGGTTTTCACTCACATTTCCACGCAGTTCCTTCTCCATGTCTTCTGTAAAAAAAGTGTGACAGGGAACATTATTTAGAATACATTTCATAAATGAAGTCTTGAAACAGGGGATCACACGATGCCTTTAGATGCGTTAAATACTTAGGTGAATGACAACATGCCAGGGAGTTAAAATACATAAAGAGAACAGTCCACTAAAAGCAACACATTGCATCTTGATCTAGCCCATACAGGGCCGTTTCTAGCTTTTTGGGGGCCCTATGCAAGATGCTGTTTGGGGGCCCTAGTTTTTACAGTTTTTTAACTACAATGGGGGGGATTCCGAAGCCTTTAAGATGATCTGTGGAGATGCATCAATCTGTTACACTTTAACCTCTTAAGCCCTGTGCCTGTTTTTCAGGTCTCAGGCTCGAAAATGACATTCCCAGAACAAATGACCATATCTTCCCTTCGAAAAGGGTTAAATTAATAATCTTTTTTCTCAAAGTAATGATAAACCTGTGAGTTGGATGTAGAAAAGTCAGAATCAATATAGATGTTTTTTATTTTAAAGAAAATTCAGATTTTACATAGTAAAAAACTGTAAATTATAGTGTCCGTCCAAAAATTCTTTTTTACTTATAGTGAAAACTACCCTTGGATGATGGGTTAGTAGACTAAAAATAATAAGTACCCTGTATCAAGATTGATGCAAAACAAGTGACATTTGACCTTTTTAGAGATTTAGCAAAAAGAAACCACTTCTGGGGTCATTTGGGTGGATTTTCCATATCTCTGGCCCCCCTTGCTCGATTTTGATGGTTGACACCTCTTTCTGACCGTTAGAGCCAATAGAATCGAAGGGGGAGTCCCCCACACACACTCATTGTGAAGAGAAAAGGTGGGGGCTTCGCGCATGTCATTTTGCATCAGAGTGAACCTATCTCTAGCTTTGACATCTAGAAACGGAAAAGCAGTTTTAATGCTTATGGATTATCAGAAATCATTTCAAAGGGACACAGACACATTAGATTAACCTATGGATTAACTTCAGCAGCGTTTTTATCGTTTTAATGCCATTGAAGATCACTTTGGAGAGACTACAGAGCCAAGGTAAAAATGTTAGCATTTTTAGCTACCTAGCGTCACCTGTTTTGATGTCCGTTTTTGCTTATAACGTCGCCATTTCGTATAATTCAGCGGTAATATCGGTGTCCATCGATTCTGTGTCACCTCACGATGTGAAACGATGTCATGGATGTAGAGAAGAGATAAATAAGGTTTTGTGAGTGATTTTCGGTGCAGTAAGGTGTTAGCATTTTTCGCTCGTTGCTAATTCAGAGGCTCAGTGTTAGCATTGTGGGTTTTATTTTGAAAAAAAAAAAAAAAAAGATCAGTTAGATGAGTTTCTTCCCGTTACATGGATATAAAACATTCATAGTTTATTAAATGAACATGCCCTCAGACACTGTTTCCTGCAAGATGTTGCGGCAGTGCCCCGGTACCGGGGTCTCTCGGGCTTAAGAGGAAAACAGGCTAATTTCACGAAAACCAAGCAATTGAAACTTACAAAAAATGATATTAAAAAGGTAAACAATAAGGCTCCTCTACGTCAATAAATGCAGCATTTTCTCAACAATGTATAATTTACATTTTTCATCTTCCTCAGACGTCACTCATTGGCTGACAGCCCAACGATGATTTGGACTTTATTACCCCAAAAACACAAGCCACAGCTTTGCGATCATTGCAGTTTAGTTGTGTTTATATCCTACATTTGATTTGTAAGCATATAATGCTTCACCGAACACAGGAGCCTATTTGGCTGTCAACAAATAAAGACGGCTCATTTTAATTCTCCCCAAATATATTGAGGCTGAACCTGAACTTTCAGCTTGGGGGCCCCCTAGTGGCCGCGGTGGCCCTATGCATCCGCACAGTCCGCCTATAGGAAGAAACGGCCCTGAGCCCATAAGTAGATGAATAAATACATCTCTACACGTCTGCATGTATCTGGTCTTTACGTTTGAATGGGATCAGCTAGTTATGCAGGTAGACCTTATGTAGCTTTTGGTGGAAAACATAGCCAAGCACAATGAGGCAAACATAAAAGTGAAAAAATAGGTAGGTCACCCATGATGATTCTTACTAATTGTAGGTCACCTGTTTCATTTTTATTCAACATGATGACACACTTAAAATATGACAACACAATAATAAATAAGAACTTGAGGATTTGTACACCATATTCTTTAAAACACATGAGTGGAAGAGCACATCACTGATCATCCACAGACTGGAAATGAGTGAACAACAAGAGATGGGACTGGAGGGCTTTGTCTAGCCCTTGAAGAAACGGCAGGGAAACCCTGTGGGACGGAAACATGAGCTCCACCGATGAATGAAGAGTTTACCTGGTGGAACGAAGAAGTCCCAGCGTAACTTAGGGTTGCTGGTTGTCAGCGAAGACCTGACACTGTTTGCAAACTCTATAGCGATATAAAAAAAAGTGTGGGGTGAAAGGAAGGGAGGAAAGGAAGGGAGGAGAAGAGGGGAGTGATGAAGGATAGACAGATGTCAGAACCAGGAGTTGGTATGGACATCAGAGACATTTGGGAAAGCTTTTATCAATTTGCCACCAAGAGTGTAAATAACAGTAGCCTGGAGGAGTTTTAAAGTGGACCTATCATGCTATATTTAAATGATATATTGTAGGGCCATACCTATATAAGGTATATTTATACGTTTCTGTTTTCAAAATACCAAACAGATCATGCATTTTAGCCATGCCTCATTTCGCTCTATGTGCTGTTTGCTGTCTACGGGGCTGATTCTGTGAGCTGCAGCTGACCACGCCCCCCTGCAGGAGAGGGGAGCCGTGCTCTGATCAAGTCAAGAGGGGGAGAAAAAAAGATCTCCGTCCTCCGTGTTTTATTATATTATTATAGGCCTATAGAGTCGTTTTTCATTTGTTTTAAAGCTCAATAAATAACAAAGAAGACCTTTGACCGGCACTTTTCTAATTTTGTCCGGAAGATTTAAACTTTAACGGACATCTTGACCGGCGAAAGAAACTGAAACTCTGCCGCACGGTCCCCTCGTTCCTTGGAAGAGGCGGAGAGGTGGGTGTTTGTCATCTGCTGGTGGACTAACCGGAGAGAATTACAGTGCTTGCCTCGACGGGGAGGGATTGCATTGAATTAAAGCATTAGCAGGAGCAAACGCTTGCCTCGGGGAGGGAGAAAAAAAGCCACAGCGGAGAATAAACAGAAGGGTAACCATGGTAACTATGGGCGGGAAGTCTTCTTCGCTGCTTTTGTGGCAGACTACAGCGCCACTTACAGGCCTGGCATATGTACTACAGCGTCTCCAGCGCTTTCGAGCGCCCCACATTCCCCTGATAGGTGGAGAGTTGGCCCAATAGCCGTTACTTTACTGACGTCAGTAAAGTGTTCAAATCTGGATCAGTTTTTATCAGATCCATTGCAGCCCCTTTTTTAGAGATTTGGGTATGGAGGAAAATAGAGAGGGTTGTGTTTTCTGACACTTGGTGAGTTCCCTGGTGAGACACATATTCATGTATAAAAGACATACAAAAGTGCATTTTGCATGATAGGTCCCCTTTAAATAAAAGAGAATAAGAATAATATTTTCTAAGTTTATATTTATTGAATGAAACAGGAAGGGAAAAGGTCTGCCAGATCACCTTTTCTCACACTAAAATGAATTAGAAATAGTATTTTGTTAATATCTTTTATCCTTTGATTTGATATGATCAAAATAGGAGATAATATAAAGGCTTCAATCCTGCATTCTGATTGGACCATATGGACCAGTTCAATTCTCTGCGACAGCAATTTGTCTATACTATTCTTATGACTTTGGATGAGTTTTTTTGGTGCACTTAATTAATAAATTAAGCAATTTATATTGTAGTTACTGTATTTTATTAACCATGGCTTCAAGGATAACCCCTCAGATGGAATTATGATATATATATAAATAATCTTTAGTCTAACGTCAGAATAAACAACGAACAACAACAATCGCTATCTAAAGAGTAATAGATAACCCCTTTATAGTTTTTTTTTTGTTTGATCTCGGGTCAAATAAGGTTGTGTCTACATTGAGAAAAACGAATAGGGGAATTTAGAGCCAATCAAAGATCTTAGGTTGCAGTCGAATAGTCCATTTAGCTTAGGAACCTTCCTAACGGAGTGAAATGACCCGGAAGTCCCTCAGTGGCAGCCATGATAAGTGCCGTTCGAATTCTCTAGATGATAGGAAAGGAGGTTTCAAACTTCCTTTATAACCTCCTTTACTGTAGTTTAGGAACCACTGGACCTCCCTTTACGAAAGGAGAGGAGAAAATGCTGCCCCACAATGCCTTGCAGCCGCAGCATTTGCCGTCACACAACAGTCGGCCGTTCACGGAAACAACCGATTATGACCGAGAAATTATATCATGAAAGTTACGGTACTTATTAAGCTTTTTAAAACGTAAGTGGTAAGTTGCCAAAGTGCTTTGTTTTGAACGTTCATCAGTATTATAATCAAAAAGAGAAATATGAACGTTAGTTTTTACTGAAATGATCAAATAAAGTCAACATTTCACAGTCTTTACTGAGCTGTGTGGGGTTTGTTCAACTTTTAAAAGATGTTTGAATGGTGATATACACAGTGATAGATGTTAAGGACTAACGTTTATAATAAATACATTTGTATTTATTTTAAGATCTTTTCATACAATCATACGTATTGGGATCATTTGTATTAATGTGGACCGGAGGGAGAGGGTGACGAGCATAAGTTTCACTTTCCTTTTTTATTTCAATTCCAACTTTGGTCATGAAGAATATGTTTCTCTGTTGTCCCCGTTCATAAAGCATAAAACAACAGCATCAGAGCACGGTGCAGAGTCTCTAGATGAGTTTACAGTAGCCCCTCGTTCTTATTAAACATCCATGTTGTAGTCCGCTGTATAGAAAACTGTAGTTTCCATAGTTTCCCCACAGCAGCAGACGCACATTTATGACGTCCGCTGGCGCATCATAAACACGTCGGATAGTGAAAGTGCAGTCGGATTCTCTAAAGTACCGCAGTCTCTTCTCCTAAGTCCTTTTGAATTCTCCTATCCACTATCCCTTAACGCCGTGACGTTTCACTCAGAGGTCAAGCGATAGACGATAGCGATAGACGATAGGAGCTGATTATTTGACTATTCAACCGCAACCTCAGTCTGTTTACACAGGAGTTTATGCAGGTTGAACACAGAATTATAAAAAACCCTTTACTCTGATTTAAATATCATTGGATACAAGATAATAGAAAGAGTCTTAGGCTCTAAAGCAAAAGAGGAAATAAGCCAGCAAGGAGGATATGCTAATCAAACTCAGAAACTCAGGAGATGCATGGAAAAAGAAGCTGCTGGCTCTGTTTGAATGAGAAGCGTTCACTGACCTGCTGCAGTTTCCCTCGGCGGGTGATATTCAAATGACTCGGGTGCAGCTAGGCTCGGTACGTTTCCCCTTCTCTGTGACGCCTCCAGGGAACTTGGCACAATTGTCTGCAGGGAGAGTCACAGATTATACGTTGGATGGCTGGTTGATTGGTCGTTTGTATTATTTTGGTTAGCAGCCTCACCTGTAAAATAATTGGCTGACTATGCTTTGTGCCGACTCCTGACGGGACGAGGTTGGAGACGTTTTGGCCAGATGGTTCAGTGTGTTGTTCTTGTTTGGCTTCTGAAAACACACATTTTATCACTGATGTTATCATAAAAAAAACCCAGAAAAGCAGACACTCTTTTTTAATTTTAACATCCATGATATGTGGTATCACAAGTCCATGAGAAACCAGAAGGGGTCAGTGTAGCAACATGCTATTCAGACCTGTAGGAGGCGCTTGTTGAGCTGCAGCATTTGACTTCTCCTCCTCTGCAGCAGCCTGACTTCCTGTCTTCTCAAAGCTTTCTTCTGGCTTCTGCAGCTCCTGTTAAGGGTCACAGAGGATTTCAAAGATTAATTATATCAATCTCGAGTTCAAGTAGAGAGTATCACAAACTAGCCTGAGATCAAGAGGCTTATCAGCAGATGTCTGGGCTAGTGTTGGGAAGACTGTGTCTTTTTTGACCCGGTGAGGTGGTTTTCTTGAAGTATCTTTGTAATTACATTTTTTTATCATTTCATATTCCAGCAATTCCTCAAAAAACATGTTTTGGACATCATGCCATTCACATTTTAAATTTACATTTTATACATTTTAAGAAATTGTAGTTTTTGTATTACTACCCCAAGCTTCCATAAGTGGGTCAAAAATGACCCGCATGCATTTCCTATGGGATCCTATGGGAACCTTTGATTCTTATCACCTGTTGCTGTCAGGAATACATTCACTGTAGACCACACAGACTACATCACAAGTGACACCTCTCAGGAAGATTATTTTACACAGCAAGATCTGATACCTGTCAGTATAATAATAATAATAATACATTATATTTGTATAGGGCTTTTCAAGGACTCAAAACCGCTTTACAATATAAGGGAAGGTTAGGGTGGGGGGTATAGGACTATCAAACTTGATCAACTGGCATGGATTGATGGGGGGGGGGGGGGGGGGGGGCTATGAGTAGACAAGAGGAGAAGAGATGAGTTTTGAAAAGGGACTGGAATACTGTGAGGGTCTCAGAATAGCAGAGATCTTTGCATCAATATGTTCAAAACATTTTTTTTCTAAATGTAAAATAAATGTCTAAAATTATAAATAGTGAAAAATTAAATATAAAATATTTGTAGTGTGAACCAAAATATAATACTAAATATTATACAAGTGATTTGTCTTAACCAAAATGACATAAAAACACATATTATTCTAATACGGGTCCTTTTTGACCCACTTATGGAAGAGTGTAGGGTCCAGTCACTCGTGCATCTAAGGGTTAAATAAGTTCAAAACGGTTCAAATGATTTCTGTAAGAAGCAAAAGGGAATGACTGCAGTATGATTTCTGAAAGCCAGGAGAGTAGCAGGTTCATTATAGGGTCTTTATAGCTCACTGATCATAATGTGTTCATAATTATTTTCAGATTTGTGTAATCGTCTATAAAAAAAAATCCTGACCGATGGGAGTGATGTGGGCCGGCTTGGCTGTGTCAAATTCTCAATGACTTTCTGTTCTTGTGCATCCTTAGAAGCCGGTTCTGTGCCACTTTGTTCCTCCCTGGCTTTCGTCGCCACTGGGCTTCCTCCTCTGGTTGAGGTGTGTGTTTGTGCGGCTGCTGACGAGGGAACATCTACAGTGCTGCTGCTCGTTATGGAGGGAGACGCCTGGAACTGAGGAGGAGATTCCCTTCCTTGCCTCTCAGGAGTGGTGAAAACGTCATCACTTCCTACGTCGCCGTTAACCCGGAGCAAAGCATTAGCCTAAATAACAGAGAACAGGTTTAGTACTTTATAACTGCACTGCAGAGTTCACTGATATGCTCAAATCATAAAAGGTGATCTAAGACATGTCCAGGCAGTACCTTGACCTGGACTTGAACTCTATTCACAAAAATCTATTTAATAATACATTTAAAATAGGTGTTATTATTTCACATACACCAGTCCTGTGAAACATTTTGTATTGCTCACTTATTCTAATAAATGTCATTATGACCAGTCCAAGATTTGGGAATGAGTCGTTAAATATTCTGGTCAAATGGATATTGTTGCTATTTTGTTTCATTTGAAGATATTTTGGAACACTTTGTAATACAAAATAAGAGTATATGATCACATTTTGATCTGTATAAGATATAAAAAGGTCTATATTTCGTTAAATGTAGGTATTTTCCGGTCCTTACTTGCAATAAGACGTAGGAACATTTAGTTTCTAGATATGAAACATCTGTAGGAAACATTGACCGCTACAACCAGGCTGCTCTAGCTCACACTACGTTCAAAAGGTAAACTAGATGAATTGATGACAAACAAAGAAATTAAAATAAACCCAGTGCCCTCATTTGTGTTCATTATCAGGCTCTCATCTCTGTCCGTTATTAGCTATTCATCCAGCTCACAACACCGTGCTGCCTCAGAGACAAAGAGGCAGTAATGTATGTGCGAGGAGCTTCTAGTGAGCGGTAACTTAAGACACAGCGGTGCAGTTGGGTGAATGCAGGCTCTCAGTCCCCCCCCCCCCGCCCTCCGCTTCCACCTTCTCATCCCTCTCCGAGCAGCCTGTGTGGGCCCTCTTTGTCCGCTGGGAGCCCACTTCACATTGAGAGGGCCCTACTTGTCAACTTCTTAAGTCAATAGGAAACAGAGGGCTCCATTGAAGCCGGGCTCCACTCAGACTCCTGACAAGACATTCCAGAAAAGCGCTGTGCTCAATTTAGTCTGGTAATACTCTGCCCCTCCCTCCCCGCTACGCCAAAACATAAGATCTCATTTTCAATATTCCCATTTGGAAATATTTGCAGAAGAAAAGGAAATGGATCCTGTCGAGAGCACTTTGAGCTAAATTGAAACATTACATGCTTCTTCTCTGAGGGGAAGTCTTGTGTTTTCCTAGAAACCAGCCGGCTCATCACCATGGCCGTCCGGTGGCATTCAGTGTGTCTGCCAAGAGGGGGGGGGGGGGGATTTTCCCTCCAGCCTGTGAGGAGTGTGAAGTTACTCCATGTAAAGTGGTCAGGACCTCAAACATACCCACTGGAGCACTGTTGTGGTTAGGGATGTCACAAGAACCAATACCTTGGTACAAAGTAGGGCTGTGCGATTATGGCAAAAATCATAATCACGATTATTTTGGTCAATAATTGATATCACGATTATTAAAAACGAATTTACTTTGAAAACATAAATTTATTGAAAAAAATAATTTGAACAGTATGTTTTTAACAGTTGATTACCCTGAACTTGAAGTATAATTAAAAAAATAAATAAATAATTACATTTCTTTTATTTTTAATAAATATTATAATCGTTTTATTTTGATTACGTTGTTTTCGTAATCGTTGCAAGCCAAAATTGTAATCGAGATTAAAATACGATTAATTGCACAGCCCTAGTACAAAGACGATTCCAAAATTCTGAAACGTTATGGTTCTTACTTTTGACCCGGTAGTACAGTCAGGGCTTGAGACTAAGGTTGTCCTGGTAATGATAGAAAATATATTTGTGATCAAATAAACTCACTATCTGTGTCCGGATGTTCATTTTGATGAATGCTTTATGAATGCTTTAAGAAATAAATATAGCTGGTTAAAAGAGATGTTTTTCAGAGCAATTTAAAATGGATATTGGATAGGGAATTATGACCTGATAAACTTCTCAACAAAAAGATGTATGTACAGAATAATAAATTAGTATATGTTAAGGTACATGGCTTTTATTGTTTTGTAACGTGGTTTGGAGCATTTTGGAATTTCATTTACTACATTTCTGCTAGTTTTTGTTAAACTAATCATAATTAAATCATTGCATGTTTGTATGAAGAGACATTTTAATGAATAAGAACAATATTTAAGTAAATAAGTACTTTACACTGCAGGTGTAGTGGGTCAATTTCACTGCGACCACCAAACACTTGAAAAAGCAACAACCCACATTTTGAGGATACTTTAAAGCAGGGGTGTCAAACTCAATTTCATCGCGGGCCACATTAGCATTATGGTTGCACTCAAAGGGGCCGGTTGTAACTATATAAATATACAATATATATATAAAATAATGTATTATATTACATTATTGCCTCTGAATTGGATTATTAACGGATAGGGTAATAACTAACTACGTCTGAAAGCAGAAGTCCAGGGCAAATAATTGCAAGTCTCTTCAGTGTGCATGTCACAAAACGAGATGCATTGTGGGACATGTAGTTTATGGGCAACGTGCTTCTGTAAAGTGGCATGTAACCGTATAATAAACGTATTATATTCTTTGCAAGCTCTTGCAGGCCACATACAATGAAGTCGCGGGCCGGATTTGGCCCCCGGGCCTTGAGTTTGACACCCCTGCTTTAAAGCATATTTACATCAGCAAATCTTTTTATTGTAGGGCAGTAATCTATTGAGGTAATCATGATTTATTCGGAGTCGGTCTCACCTTGCTGGGCCATGGTTCCCCCGCTGAGGGTCGGGGCTGGAAGTAAGGCTTGGGCATCAGCAAAGGCACCGGTTTGGGCGACAGGGTTCTGTTGGACGGCGGCTCAGACGAGCGGGAGCGGATCTGAGGCCGCTGGTGAGAGGGCTCCTTGGGAAACTCCTCCACCCGCGCCTCCAGTGTAGACGTGAACTTAGGAGCCGGGGCCGACTGCTGTCGAAGATACCTCAGGGGCCCGTGGGGGTCAACGTCAAAGGGGTCAGGGGTCATCGGGGAGAGGGAGATAGGGAAGGATGAGATGGGTAAAGAGGGATCAGCAGATATACTGCGGTCCAGGATATTTGGCAACTGTAGGCGCTCCATGACGGATTCACTGATGGAGAAGCGCTGGGCGTAATGTTGGAGGATGGCCGACGCCTCCTCTGGAGTTCTGGCTCTCCTGTACGCTTCCCGCAGCTCAAGCTCACGACGCTCCCTGTTGGATAGGAAGGGAGTTTAAGTAGGATGAAAACTGACATGACCCAATTTGATTTATATTATATGCACAATATGTACGCTGATGTATTCGAGTTTTCCATTACACTACTTTGTTATGTACATACAGCTTTGTTGTTTGAGCTGAACACAGATGAATCGTCCTTTTAATGTGTATGCCACGTACTTGTCCTGCACTATCTCTCTGTATGTCTTGATGCTTTTCCTCCTATGGGAGGTACAGATTTCTCCTGACATCAACTGCTCCATCATCTTCCGTTCCTCCTCCTTCTTGATCAGGTCCTGGGAGATACTCCTCCTCCGATTTTTCCATCGGGCCAGGTCCTGACACACAAACAGATCAGAAGTGTTTCAGTTCCAAGTGAAGCAAGGCAAGTGGGCTCAGCAGAGACCTGAAGCACTGCTGTGGACCTAGAAAACTGATTAAAGTTGCTTAACTGGGGCACAGCAAAACAAGTTCATGCTTTTGGCCTGCAGGCAGTAAAACCAACTATCTGTCTGTCTGTCTGTCTGTCTATCTAACTATCTATCTATCCATCTATCTAACTATCCATCTAACTATCTATCTATCTATCTATCTATCTGTCTATCTATCTATCTAACTATCCATCTAACTATCTATCTATCCATCTATCTATCTATCTATCTATCTATCTGTCTATCTATCTATCTAACTATCCATCTAACTATCTATCTATCCAACTATCTATCTATCTATCCATCTATCTATCTAACTATCCGTCTAACTATCTATCTATCTATCTATCTATCTATCTATCCGTCTATCTATCTATCTATCCATCTAACTATCTATCTATCCATCTATCCATCTATCCATCTATCTATCTATCTATCTGTCTATCTAACTATCCATCTAACTATCCATCTAACTATCTATCTATCTATCCATCTATCTATCTAACTATCCGTCTAACTATCTATCTGTCTATCTATCTATCTATCCGTCTATCTATCTATCTATCCATCTAACTATCTATCTATCCATCTATCCATCTATCCATCTATCTATCTAACTATCCATCTAACTATCCATCTAACTATCTATCCATCTATCTATCTATCTATCTATCTATCTATCTACCTATCTATCTATCTATCTATCTATCTATCTATCTATCTATCTGATAAACTACTGACACAAAGGGTGCAATAAAAACAAACTGTCCATTTGAGACAATTGTAGTCCTAATGCAGAAAGAAACCACTCACATCCTGCCAGTGGTCGTCTTCTTCCTTCATCTCGTTGTACTGGTTAAGCATCAGTTCATGACGCACCTGACTGTGGGGCTGCAACATGGCCTCCTCCTCATCTCGCATGTCGATCATACTCACACTCCTGAGGAGAGGAGGGGGACACAGACAGAGAACAGGGATTTTAAATCATGCGTTGACCAGAGTACAATAGTTGTTTTTGTATTTACTGTAGATAGTCTGCTAGTAGTCTCTAAATGTCCTTGAGTGCATTGTACTGTAAGTATGTTGCCTTTACCTTTTCCAAGACTAAGCAATGGCAAACAATTGGTTATGTTATAGTAGTAATGTATCATGATCCACCATAAATATGTTTAACCATTCCATCATTATAAGGAAAAGAACCAACGGCTCTGTACAGATAACAAAACAAGATGTGTCTTTTTAAGAAGCATTTAAAGAAAAACTGTCCTCATGCTCACCCTAAAGGCATAATGACTATTTTAGAAATAATACAACATTCACAATTCTCTCAAGTAGTAGCAAGTCATTTTCCTTTAGTTTGTTCCTTTGAATATTCCCACGTTGTTTCATTTCACACACAAACATTTGTTCCACAGGACATTCAATACATTAGGGGTTAAGATCATTTAGTGAGACCTTAAAGAACATATCAGCTGCAGGTAGTTTGTAAGTAGCATTCTGATGTGAGTGTATGAGATGCAACAACCATACGGTCTTCATACAGTCAAAGAAGTGTCACAGACAGTTCACACTGATTTTATATATTTGTGCAGTCAGTAATGTTAGAGCATTCATTTCTAGATTACAGAGAAGACAGTAAAGTGCAGCCTTTTTTGATTGTGATGGACCAACTTGTGAGCAGAAGTGTTTTCAATCAAATAGATGACTGACATGTTACTTGTTTTTCAAAGTTGTGCTCAATGGGACGTCAATCAAAAACGTTTAAACAATCAATTGTGTTATCACCATGTTATGAACCACTTCTGCTACATGAAAAGCTGCACTTTTTACATTAGCAAATGAAATCACATGATAATTCATCCTGTAAGGGAGAGGGTGTCAGGAGGGCAGTTGAAATGATTGCGTTACATGCAGCTGGCAGAAGCACTAATGATGTCGGAGCAGCACAGTTTAGTAAGTCCTCTCTACACACACTACAGCAGGCACTTTGAATACATCCGAGAGGAAATGGTTGTTGCCAGCAGGAAAGACATGTGACTACATTTAGTAAAAACTACATTTCTTGATATTTCAGATCAAGTTTATGGTAAATGGACATTGTTTGACACGGTAATGGTAGAGTCTTTTAACTTATTATTTGAATTATACAAGTAGGACAAATCTGCTTAATTTGAGGACTTTTGTCTTCCGTGCAAAGACAATTAGAAAAAAAGTTATCCCGAGTCAAATCAGATCATCTCCTAACAAATGTTATGATACATAAGCCCTGGCTGACTGCACTTACTGCCATTTTCACCTCCATGAAATTTGTATAAAGTCTTTGCCTAGAAATATTTCAGTCTAGTTATTTCCCTCTTCAGTGGGGTTGTATAGATACATTGATCATATACTGGAGCCTCTTATTGGCTGAGCTGCTAAGATAAATGAAAGCACTTCTTAATGACATTCAGTAGAGAATTGAAGTATCACATGAGGGCCATTTTAAGAGGATTTCCTACCCTGGCAAGATACACTTCTGTGTAGGGGTGTGCAATTAATCATATTTTAATCTCGATTTTGGCTTGCAACGATTACGAAAACAATGTAATCGAAATAAAACGATTATTATTTGTATTTTTTTGAATTAATTATTTTATTATTATTTTTAATTAATTTTTTTATTGTGTTTTCAGTTGAATTATACTTCAAGTTCAGGGTAATCAACTGTTAAAAACATACTGTTCACATTTTTTTTCAATAAATGGATGTTTTCAAAGTAAACGGATAATCGTTTTTTAATAATCCTGATATCAATTATTGACCAAAATAATCATGATTATGATTTTTGCCATAATCGAGCAGCCCTACTTCTGTGGCAATGCACTACAATCTCGTAATTTCTACAATTAAAAGATGGTTGAATATAAAAATATAAAGAATTTGCACAAATGTCACCTTTAATGATACTAAAACCACCCCACCAGAAAAACATTCACTGGCTTTGAGAAACTTCTTTACATTTCTCTAACGTTTGGTCGATTTTTCCCACTTGCATAAAGGAAATTGTAACACTCGATAGGTGACAGAATGATTATTGAGCGGGCTTTGCAGTGCGTAGCAGGGCTGGGCCAGACAGCCGAGTGTCTGAGTGCTAAATGGACAACTTACTGTGGGTCATCTGACACACTGTGTGTGCGGCTGAATCTACAGAAGGCAGAGAGCACAATCACAAATGAATACAAGTACACTCAACAAAGACAATCAGCATTCACTCATGTGGATATCAGACACAGTGATGGGATATTTAATCGCTAGTGAGTTACATATCTGTGATCACACTGACAATGAGTTAGTTATGACAGATTTCATACAGAATTGTTCAGAAATGTTTCAAACAAGTGCCCCTTCTGGTTTTGTATCCAAGCACTGAGGTGTGTCAGGTTTAACTCTGATCCTTAAACCAGGCACAAGGGGGCAGTCTTAACCGTAACACAGCCAGAGCAGCAGACACGTTTACTGCAACCCTGCATACCAAAACACTGCTAGCATAAGACAGATGCATATGGCAATGATCTCTGATGCAGCTGACACTTAGCTCTTAAAAACAAAAAGCACATATCAAGGATGTGCTCTGTTTCTGTCTGTGACTACCACTGGTATGTTGGGCTGCGACCGCTAAAGGTCTTCACACATGCTTTTTTTATGTAGCTGCCTCTGTGATGTTGGAGGGGTGTGAGAGTAAGCGTGGCCTGTGGTTTCTCGCCACAAGAGAACAAGGAGACTAAATTAATAGAAGCTTCGCTAAATCAGGGCCAGATACTTTTTTTTATTTCTAAGATGGCTATCTGCCATTTGGTTTGTTGCAGTAAAATGATCACTCGCCATATGTTTTGTAGAAAGATGAAAGCCTGTGATGGAGTGGGGTTTGCTTTAAAGATGGTATTTGAGGGATATTTATGGAATTGATAGAAATCAATTTAAGCATTTGTGAACAGCCAAATCATTTTGGATCAATTTGAGTCCATTTCTAACTCCTTTTTGGGACCTCAGAAAGATTCATGAAAAATAACATTCTCAAATGTTTCTCTTTCTCCAAATTCCTTAATAACCAAAATAAGCAATGCAATTAGAATAAAATCCAAATTGCTCACAGTTTCCATGCATTCTCTGTACAATAACAGTTGCTTTTGAGACAATAATACAAGTTGGCATTCATTTGAAAGAAAGTCATGCAATCTTTCGGTAGTCATTCAGATAGGAGCAGTGCAGTCGAGGTTGCATGCTGAGATTGAGTATTCAAAACAGTCATTTGAATACTAGATCCTTTGATTTTAAAGTAGCATATTGTAGTTTAAGTAGTGGAAATTATTAAAATGTAGTGTAGTTGCTGGACGGGGCTCACGTTGCAGGAAGACCGCTCTCCGACAAAGCGCTTCCTTCTTTTGGGTCGCCACTTTCGCTCAGCGCCCGTCCCTTCCGCCGGCCTGTATCGGTTGTTGCCACGGCAGCGGGCACAGGAAGGAAGTGCGGGGGATTCGTGGTGTTGGGAGAGGTCAGCGTTTGGCCGACCTGTTTCTCTGCATCTGCGGCCAACGGGACACCAGCAGCTCCCTTCCTCACAGCCGCTTCCTCCGGCTCGCTCACAGGTGGATGTTTCCCCGAGGCGACGGGGCTCACTGCGGCAGATTTAGCCGCCGGAGTCGTCGAATGTTGGAAGAATTCCTCAGAGCACGAGCGAGCTGGAGTACTGCAGAAAGCAAAGCAAACTAAAATGCACTGCTGCCTGGTTATCATCCTATATCATCACCTGACAGCATTCCTCTGGAGGAGCTTAAATGGAGGGGTTTTCTAAAAGACATAAATCTGAGACAATAGCATAGCATGCTCACAAATCCCTTCTAAGCAGACAAACAAATTGGAGTCAAAAAGCCAAAGTATAATTCTCTCAACACTGTTTTTCTGTCATCCCGTGATGAACAGCCACTTTCTGAGAGGCTTATTATTGGACTATAAATTCCCAGCATGCATGGCAGGGGGAGAAAGGCTGTGAACAGGCCAAGCTTCAGCCCCAGCCTGCTCAGGGTCAGGGAAGGAAGAAAGCCTCATTTCCTTACATCCTGAGGGAGGGTAGCATGTTCCCTGCGAGTGTGTGTGTGTGTGTGTGTGTGTGTGTGTGTGTGTGTGTGTGTGTGTGTGTGTGTGTGTGTGAACACCATAAAGTACATGTTTGTGTTAACCTGCTGAGTTTATATTTGAAGGTGTGTGAAGTCTTACTCATGTGTTCCTAATCCCGTCCACACAACCTTTGATAGACGTCTACAAATACAAATATGTTGATGTTATATAACCGGTCAAAACAAATGATCAACTCCTGGCAACACTGAAACACACAAATTCCAGCATCAGTTTTCTTCGAGCTATACAATACGAGCTGTTACCAACTAAAGAAGCCAATATCAAAGCCTTTTGAAACATCCAGAAACCCCCCTTTTTCCTTGGATTGCAGATAAACACATGTCAGATTTCCTTTGAGCATTAATTTCACTCCCCTGATTCGCTGACAACCAAATCAATGCCATATCATCCCTGCCAGGAAAAGCTGGAACAACTGGGGGAGTGAGGCTAACAACTGTCCAACAGGACGGTGAATGAAACGTCTGCTGGACCAGGAAATAACAGCGGAAAGGGCAGGATTGAAAAAAAACAACAACAGACCTAAACTGCGATTTTTCAAGACAGCAACATTGTAGTCACGCATCATAGTGGCCTTTAGCCCAGGGACATAGAGCAGAATTGTATATTCACAGCTCATAATAGCCTTAACTGCTGTATAAAGACCCTTTGTTTCAGATATTAAACTCTTGCTGACTCACTGTTATAATGTTGCTCTGGATAAGCACTGGATGATGGTCTGGTAATGGTAGAGCCAAAGATGATAAGTGCTGGATGAAAACACCAGCTGTGAAATTGAAACTATTTTGTACCAAAGAAACAATCGTGATAAAAAACTGTTCTTCGTGAGGCATGCAGATTACCCCAATTAACTGAGGACATTGTTTTTGGACAGAAGAGCTGCTGATGAGGTCACTTTAGTGTTTTCAGTTGAACAAATTCCATTCACCTTCACTGTGTGATGATGCAGGTGTGTGTCACACAACTTGCACACACAGCTGAAATCACCTGTGTGGCTACATGTCCCTATAGCACAGGTGAGCTGACCCTTCACTAAAACAAAAGCACAGCTGCAATAAGAGAGTAGCCTGCAGACTGTATTCATTTAAATCATTCTTCACATATTCAGCATTGCAGTCTTATTGAAAAACGATGCAGAAGCACCAGAGAAATCGTTTAAATATTCGTATACCACGCATACCTCTTCCTGGTCTGAACCTGGCTTCTACATTACCCACAATGCAACATGACTGGTGAGAGTTCATGTTGTTGTGTTATGCTCGTAGTCACTGATGTAATTTTGATCATCTAGCGTGAAGGAGAAACGATGAGTGAGCTTCAGAGGTCTATTTAACTCACTCTTTATGACTCAACACGTTTTTTTTTCAAATATACAAACTTAAAGGTCACCTATCATGCTATTTTTAGGCAATAGCATAGGTCTCAGATATATACACATATATAAAAAACATGTCTATGAAGTGTTTTGCTCAAAATACCAAACAGATCACCCATTCTAGCCATGCCTCATATCCCTCTATTTCACTTCCTGTTTCAAAAGTGCTGATTTGGGGTATAAAGCTTTAAAAATAAAAAAAAGGAGGGGGCTGAGCTCATGCGGGACCTGGCAGCTACTGTCTAAACTAAATTCTGCCGTGATGAAACGCCATATCATGGATTATCAAGGATTATTTCTGAAACAGTATGGAGCTCAAAGGCTTTCTCTCTTGCCGGTTATACCACAAGGTGAGTTCCTTTTTATTTCCTGCTTCTTCACACACATGCTCTCCAGTACAGGTTAGCTCTGAGTGTTAGCGATGCTAATGTAAACACCGACCATATTACGTCCAAAACAGTCGGGCATTGTTTCTGATAGCAACGTTTCTGATAGGGCCGTGGGTGTAAAGCCAGCCTACATTCCCGATATTACGTCATATCGGACGCAAATCTGGATCAGCTCCGTTGTAGCCCCGTTTTTAGAGATTTGGGTACGGAGGAAAAGAGAGAGGGTTTTATTTTCTGACGCTGCGTGAGTTCCCTGACACACCGGGGACACATGTTTATGTATAAAAGACATCAAAAAGTGCATTTTGCATGATATTGTTGTGTTGAACTTCAACCAACACTGACTCAAGTGACATCACCTCACGCAATTGATCAGACTTTACCCAGCGCCCTTTGTAGATGTAAACAGCTATTAACTATTTAAGAGACCTCTAAAGGGACATTGATGAGTACAATCCATAGAGTTCCCCTATAAGGGTAAAAATGAAAAACACAAAGAAAATAAGAATTTATCTTTAGAAAATGTGAAAACCTAATTTATAATGTTAGATTCTATATGGCAGTCTATTATCTATTAGATTAGGTTGATTTAAAGCAATCAGGACTATGAATCAGAACCATGTAGACAAAGGGGAACTAGGCAGCTGATATGGGGTATTGATTAAAACAGGAATCAAGGGGAAGACCTTTGCTCAGAGGAGACCATCGGGCAAGGCACAGTGTCGATGCGGGGCTCTGCTCGGGGCGGGGGGAGGCTATAGGGCAGAGGCTCACTGCTCCTCCTCACATGGATCTCAACACGAGGGGTGGAAGCAGTCTGCTCCCCTTCATCCTCGTCCTTTTTAGTCTGCTTCACCTTCTGAATCTGTATCTGGGGGTCAAGGGTCGGGCAGGGGGACTCTTCAGGTCTGTCCTCTAAACTAGGGGCTTCATTTGGACTGTTACATCACCCGTTCACACACACACAGACACACAGAGGGAAGCACGATGTAATCACAATGGAGCAAAATGAGCAACGACACAAGGATGACATGACGTACATGAGACATACAGCACACAAATGTGGGGAATAACACACACACACACACACACACACAGTAAAGGAAAGACCAGGGACACAATGGATGGAAGAAAAAAACACAAAACAGTATGGCCAAAATCAATGAAAACATGCGTTTGTACACGATGGATAAAGTTACAAGGGGAGAATGAAAGACATATCATCAACACACACACACACACACACACACACACACACACACACACACACACACACACACACACACACACACACACACACACACACACACACACACACACACACACACACACACACACACACACACACACACACACACACACACACACACACACACACACACACACACACACACACACACACACCACACACACACACACACACACACACACACACACACACACACACACACACACACACACACACACACACACACACCACACACACACACACACACACACACACACACACACACACACACACACACACACACACACACACACACACACACACACACACACACACACACACACACACACACTGAAACTGATCAAAGCACATTAAGGAATCCACTAAACCAGCAGAAATGTGACACTTGTACAGTGAGAGCCACTGGCAATAAATGATCAAAAGAATATAAATGAAATCCCAGCGCTCTACACATGCCAACCAATACATAGATTTTAATCTCCTTCTTCTATGTAGTAGATTTCACACTTTCACTTCAATCAGAGCCAATGAAAAAGCACATCTGGCTTCCATTAGCCACTCCCACGTGAGACGTTCTCTTGTAATATCAATAAACAACACAGACTCAAAAAGATGTTGGTGGGTTTTAGACTTCGTAAATAATAAACGTGCTTTTTTCCCAAACATCTACATTCTTTCTTTGTGATCAGTTATATCAATACTGTAAAGAAAAATGTCACACATTCTTAAAAAAATTACTTCATGGTCAACTTTCAACCATATTCAATTTCTTTGTTAGAATTTCTCACGCTAATGTGAACTCACAAAACATGTAGGAAGCATTGTCTGCTTGAAACTGCATTTTCAGCTGCAAGCAGAAATGTGTGGAATTCTCTACCAGAACATTTGTGACAACTTCTAATTAAAACATTTGTTATCTGCAGCAAATCAATGTCAAGCTATAACAAGGTAATGGTTGTACCCGTCACCAAATGATCAGTTCATTATGCAATTACACTGCCCTTGATCTCCAACTGCAGCATCCAGGAACAAACCTAATGTAAAATGCTCTGCACAACTCTTTAAATAACAAGGGCCTTGAGTTATTAAAGCCCTTATGTAACAAATGTTCTTATAGCAGAAATGCCAAGTAGTACAGAACACCTTTTCAATAGAATAGTCAAGCTTTACACAACAAAATAAAAACGTGTGAATACTTTATCCATCAGATTAAAAACTACACTTGGTGTATATACTTACTTTATTAGACTTGACTTGTATTTAAATATCTAAAGTAACCCAAATAAATTACTGTTTTTGTACACTTCTAATCACTGCAGCAGTTAGACTCACCTGAACGGTCTGTCTCCCCCTACAGGTGAGGTCGCAGTACTCCAGCTCTTGCGCGCCCCGTCCTCTTTGTCGCTCTTTTTCTTGCGGAGGGGCGTTGGCACGTATCCGCTCTGGTTGCTCTTGTTGGGCAGGTACTGGTTGAAGGGCATGGCGGTGCGCGGCTCGCTGATGGACGTCCGCCGTGTCGACATGTCGTCCTTACGCACGTCTGGCATCTTCCTGTGGGGGGGGCCGTCGGACTCTGAGTCGCTGCCGCGGCCTGTTGAGGGGAGATGGGAGGAAATATATCTGCACTCCTGATGAAGCATATACATATAAAGTGTCTCTCTGATATGATCTATTCACTTTCTGAATAATAAAATGTGTCAATTGAAAATAAAGAAAAGAGAGGGGGACAAATCAATAATTTGATTGCGATTTCTAATCTCTGAATATAAATATGACTTTATTTATCCCTAAGCCGTTAACTACATCATATTAAGGCGTGCACAACATTAAAGTGCTGTTCCAGTGTTATTATATGCAGTGCATTCCAGCGGCTGAACATAAATCACCCCCAAGCAGGTTGACGACATGTTTTTATGAAACAAAACAAGTAACATAAATCATCACAAAATGTATAATGTGCAGCTCCTGCTCACAAAATGCTAACCTACAGTTGGGAAGAATTCACTTAGGATGCCACTTGTCTGTCAGCATCCCATTTGAAACATATTGTTAGGGCTTTTAATGTCAGCGGCAACACCTGGAGCAGCACAAGTGCACCGCTCAAGGACTTTCCCTACCAATGAGTCTTAAATTCCTCTGCAGATGTTCATGTGTGATCCTCCGAGTACAGACAGCAAAGAGTAATGAGGACAAATCCCATAGACAGGGGCGGACTGGGACTAAAAATCAGCACGGGACTCTCGATCGGCCCACTTCGGTACCGCTAGTAAATTGTCAACGGGGGGGGTGCTAGTGCCTTATCCGACCGGCCCACCACGGTACCGCTAGTAAATACCGCTAGTAAATTGTCAACGGGGGGTGCTAGTGACTTATCCGACCGACCCACATCGTCCGACCGGCCCACTTCAGTACCGGCCCATCGGGATTCGTCCCGAACGTCCCGATGGCCAGTCCGCCACTGCCCATAGACATGCCAACAGTATACCAGGGAATACGTCATTAGGGCGCATTTCACAAATGTTAACCCCATTTCAACATTACAAAACTACAAGTATAGATACCTGCAGCCTTGCTTACCCAATCTCTCTCTAAATTCCTCTCCAAGATGCTCAGCACATGTGCTACTGGAATTCCCCTCCCTTTGGATGCATGCAAACTCAACATATGACCTCCTGAATTTCAATATATACATTTTCCATGCATCAACCCGCAATTTATACCAGATCTGAACCGTAAAGTCTTCCCTTAGTTCTGAAGAGATACATGTGGATGCAGCTGCAGCTCTCGGTGGAAACAAACGTGACATTTTACACTTGTAAAAAGCTCCCTTTCTATCAATAGACTTATTCATTTTTATGTGGTTCTAAAAGATTGACAGATCAAGGTCCAAAAGAGGCCTTGGGGTATCTGCACTTTCAACAATAAGCGGTTCAATCATGACTCTTAGCCCATCAATTGGAAACATGAGTGACTCTACCATCCAAGTCAATCCGTCCTTAAGGAACAACACATGTCTTGAGGGAGTGATCTGCTTTCTCTGCACATCTGGTAACACTGAAGCTTGAGGGAACGTTTTTCATGGGTCAGTGCCATACTGTACCAGAGACTCACAGAAACCTATTTACATCAACAATCACCAACATGCAGTAATACTACAGGAAGTGTAAAAGCCACAGAGTCCACTTCAATATCCAGTGCAGTGACTAGAAGGCTGTAACAAAAGAGGAGGAGTGATAGTGATACTCTTAACATCTTAAACGACAACAATTTCTCTGTGCAAGCATTCACGATTTTTCAAATTTCTCTCATCATGCGACACAGATCTTTCCCGGCAGAATGTACAGCAAAAGTATGGAAGAGTTTAAAAATAGTGAGTGATCTTGAACATATGCTATAGCCAGTTCCATTTAGAATATGATATCCAAATACTCAGATTTCTTAAGCTCTGATGGTAATTAAGCTTTTATCCCTGCTCTATTTTTTTAATTAGCTAAAAACAATGCAGAAAATGTGTAGAAAAACATGTTTCCCAGCCAAAAAAGGAGTCGAGTCTATAACATTTGGATTGGAAACCATATTCAATGTACTATTCCCCAACCTTAAAGGTGGGGTAGGTAATTCACTTCAGAAACACTTTTTGTTATATTCCATGGAATGCTCTTAACATCCCGATAGCAATGAATACATTAAATGCTTTGACAATAAATACATTAAAACATGTCATCTGTGGAAGCCGTGGCGCTGTAAAAAGCACGACCAATCATCTGAGCCGGCCCGACTAAAATAACTGGATGGCCTACCTGCCTGTCAGCCTTCCATCTGTGCACAAACTTATCTGGTGCCCTCATTGGTCATGTGCGCGTTCGTGTGTGTTGGAGGAGGGGCTCTGTAAGGAAGTCTGAAGGAAGGGGCAGATTTTTTCCGGTTGTGTACTTTCAAATTCTAGCGCACTTGAGCTGGTTTCTCCATTCTTACATACCCTACCTTTAACAGACACGTTATAATTATTTGTAAAGAAAAAAAAATTGAAAATTAAAGCAAGAAAAAGCCCAACAGAGGAATTGTCGAATTCACGTTGAGCTTCAAGAAACAATATTTAAATGTTAATTGTTATTCGGAGCATGCGCATTTTCAACCTTGCTGTGAATGAATCTTATCGTTGGCTGTGAGTCCTGAGGCATGTGATGTGAGGGCAGTAGTATGAGAACATTTTACAGAATGTGGGCAGGACTTTAGAAAAACCCTGAAAAGCATAACTCTGTTTATTGTTTCAAGCGGGCTTTTACTAGTGATGGGTGTTGCCCTCCAAAGATTGTACAAGAGGAGGACAGGTTTTACTACAGCAGCACCAGAAGCAAAAAGTGTCTCGCCCACCGACGCTGTATCCATCTACTGTAACTAAAGAGCATCTGCAATATGGAATCTCCTTCAGGGATTGAATTAAACTCTTCTCCTTGTCCCCTAATTACTGTCAGAGTGAAGTCACTTTACAGAGCTGAATAGTGAAAGGGCTTTGTCTGAAAAAGGTCAGAGCAGGAAAAAACCTGGCTGGGTCGAGTTCGTGTGCACGTTCATAAATGGATGCTCTTGTTCTGGGAATACTTGGAGCACCCTGGGATGGGATGATTACTGCATTGTTGTCCCGTTCTCACTTCTCCAGTGTGTGCCTCCTGGCTCTGATCAGATCACTGATAGTATGAAACTCCTCAATAACAGCATGGGCCTGAAAATATGGATCTTGACATACTAACCTCTCTATAACCTATTTCCATATAGTACCACAAAGACCTTCTGACAGCAGATATGAAAAAGCCTGAAGGAAATTCCAACTTCAGAATGTCTGTGGTGTTCAAAGCATTTCAGAAGTCACTTAAATATACGCTGTCATTCAGTTATTTTAGGTTAAGCCTGGCCAGCCCTTTATATCTCTAATTTTCTGAATTACAGATCACGGACGTATAACAATACGAGAGAGGCACACTTCAACTTCCAGAAGGTTTTTTTAGTTAGACTGCTTGTGACAGAAACTAAGACTTTGGAGCTTCCTTTGCACTTCCCTCCAAACAAAAACAGTCTGACAGGAAGCTCTGCCTCACTCTGTTTTTTTCCCACAGCTCAGAGATGAAACGTACATTAAGCTTTGTGACGACTTCTGTAAAATGTTATAGGCTGTCATTAAAATTTAAAAAGGGTCAAATTCAAATAAAGTGTCGCAATGAAAAGCTTTCTATGACAGCATATGGTCGGCTTGACATTTTAAATGCAGCCAAAATCTATTTTTGACTCCATTTTTGATTTCAGCACAAAGCACAAAACTAATTGCCGGCTGTTTGCAGTTCCTGCATGTCTTGGCTCAACTTATTATGGGAAATTGTGAGGCTCCAATTTTGAATGCATTTAATTAGATAAGCCAATATCGTTATACAAGCAAAACACATACTATACACTTCTATAGACACTGTATAACAATGTGCACCTGGATGCAGATCTCCTATCCTTATGGACAATGCATTGAGGCAGACATCTGTCATTTAAAGCAATGTCTCCACAGTCAAGATAGATAGGTGTAATAAGGCTACATTTTTCCAAGATGAGGAACTATCCCTATATGGAATGTGTCAGTGAAGTGTCAGATCAAAAAAAGAGCAATAGATCCTGAAAACACATTTCTTTGTCTCACTATTATACTAGCATGATTCACCTCTTCCTCTCACTCGTGTCATAAACACTATGAGGCTGCACGGTTGGACACGCACGCCCGCTTCTTAAAGTAAAAAAAACTAAAAGCATCTAAAGATCAGTTCCTCTTATCAACACTCCCAAATGTATTGTTCAGTTTTAACAGTACTGTATTTGATGCTCAAACTAAACTTAAAGTAGGGCTGTGCGATTATGGCAAAAATCATAATCACGATTATTTTGGTCAATAATTGATATCACGATTATTAAATACGATTATTCATTGACTTTGAAAAATCCATTTATTGAACTTTTAAATACAAATAATAATTTGAACAGTATCTTTTTAACTGTTGATTTCCCTGAGCGTATAATTCAACTGAAAAACCAATACAAAAATAAATAAAATAAATGATACATTTATATCTACATTTAAATAAATAATATAAAAAATAATAAATACCAATAAACAAGATCAACAAATATTTTGGAGCGCACTTCAACAAGCTACTAAACATATATAAATATGATAAATACAAATAAATTTGATCAAATATGTTGCAGTGCACTGTCACAACCTAGCAAAGCAAAATAATTGTTTTTTTCGATTATGTTGTTTTCGTAATTGTGGCAGGCCAAAATCGTAATTGCGATTAAAATACGATTAATTGCACAGCCCTAACTTAAAGCATCTTAAATTCATTCGTCTCAAGGACACAAACCTCTCGCCACTTTTATTTTCTCAACTACATAAAATGTAAAAGTGAAAAGTGTTTCCTTGAGGGCAATTTGATTAAATGTCTTCTGTTTTGCGTCACCTGACACAACTGTCATGTTGGTGGAGCCAGTGTTAACATTACATAACTGAAATGTGTTTGAAACCAAAACAGATGTCACAGCAGCGAGGCCCATACGTGTTTTTTTCCACCGCAGATTGACATTAGATATGTGTGATTGGAAAACTGATACTGACACACAGAGAAAAAAATGAAGATTTATGGTGAGCATGTAGCTTTTTCTGGATTAATTCAATGGTAACTGACAAAATTCCAAAAAAAAAAACAGCAGCTCTTGTACTAAATGTCCTCCCTTTCACAAGACATATAGCTGAATGAAACAATAGCCATAGCTTAGCTTCCAAACAGGCTTTGCACTGAGATCATTCCATTATTATCTCAAATAGCCTTTGACTAGCACTGGGTGTAGTCCTGCGATAACACAGCAAGGAAAAACAACATGCTTTATTAAAACACCACTGCAAGGACAATGCACCTCATTTATCTATATACTATATCAGAACACAACAATTCACCCAAACAAAACCGCCAGTACTGAATCAGATTACTTCCACAAGACATAATGTGGTGGCTAGCACTTCACAATGGCTTTTGACTTAAGTTAAAACTATTTAGGAAGGGTGGTCTTTCAAGACAAACGTTCACCATCATTTCAAACAAGTGTGCTGTGTGAATATGAAGAGTGTAAAAGGTATTTAGAGTAGACTTTTGTTTTGTGTCTTCCCATTTTGGCCCTTCCTGGGAATAAGGGGCGAAACAGGAAGGGGGCAAAATGGGGCAGGGGCGAAATGGGAAAGGGGCAAAATGGGAAAGGGGCAAAATGGGAATAAACCCTTTTTTTTCCCTACCATCGCTGCTGCCGCGGGGGACCAGGACATCCGGCGACGGGGTCTGTCGTGAGCGTGAGCCGAAGGAGTCCAGACTGTCGAAGGAGTCCTCGCGGCCGTGGCGGGGCGGGGAGAGGGAGTCGCTGCGCTCAGAGTCCCAGCAGTCGATGTAGCCGCTGTCCCGGATGCTGCGTATCGGGCTCTCTGCCTCCTCCGCCTCCTGGACATTTAGAAACATGCCCATGTTATACAAATGCACACATTAGCTTACAAAACATTAATAGAAATAAAGGTAAACAACATTTTTTGCAAAGTACATTGAGTAACTTCTGCTGTGGGAGGAGATTTTAGTTTTCACCTGCTCAAACATCTGAAGAATTTGTTTGTGTCCCAAATATCTCATATCACTAAGTCCTAGATCAACTTTGTTTTTGTCCCTCTTTGCATGTTCTCATCTTTGTTCTGCTGAGATCCCTCTCTGTCACTCTCTCTTCACCTCAGTGACCTCTCCCTTTGTCTGTCTACACTTGAAACATGTCTATACAGCTAATGAAAGGTGGGGAAAGGTCTTTCCTGTCTACCAAAAGACTTCCTGTTCCTGACCCCTGGAACGTTGGTTATGCAACTCCCAAACCTCTTTCAGACTCCATGTTATGTTTTCAGCTCAGCTGTACTGACGCAGAATTTTGTCTCACTTATCTCTTTGTTAAACAGACATTCAACTTTCTTTCCTGTAGCAATGCCATTGTCCAGTGAAGCTGCATAGAAAACACTGATCAAGGTTCATTAGCCCATCTTTATGCAAATTGTTGCATATGCCTATAACCTGTCCGGCAGTGGCTCAGTCAGTAGGGGCTTGGACTGGGAGCTGTCGGGTCGCCGGTTCAAGTCCCCGACCAGACCTAAAATATGGAGTGTGGACTGCTACTTGGAGAGGTCCCAGTTCACCTCCTGCCCTGCCGTGGTGCCCTTGAGAAAGGCACCGGACACCCCCCCTCACTCCTATTGCTCCCCGGGCGCTGTACAATAGCTGCCCACTGCTCCTAGTTCTAGACTCCTGGAACTAGGATGGGTTAAATGCAGAGAACACATTTCACTGTGTGTGCTGTGTGCTCTGCATGTGTGACCATTAACGAGGGTTTCATCCCTTCCTATTCTATTCTAACCTAAATAATGCTATTAAAACTTAAAAGGTTTGTTTACTCAAATTCATTTAAAAAAGCAGATAACCACTTGAATAAATGGAGCAGAGAAAAGTGCAGCTGGTTCCACAATTCACCTGCTTCTTGCATTACAATAATCATTTTCTTTTTTAAATAAAAAGGTCTAGTTTCCATTGCATAAGTATAAGAAAAAAGAGCGCATTCAGTTTATAATGTGTGAACCTGATGAGTTTTCCTTGATTTTCAGATCTCATTTTATTATTAATCTCTTTTTGATTTCATAGAAACGTGGCTTTGTTTTGGTCAGTAGCAACATCTGGGGAAGTTATTCTGCTGAGTTGGCAGAGATTTCTCAGTTTTAACAGCAAACGTCATATTGTGGAAAAAGATTGTACGGGGGTGACATCATGGTTATGAGCGGGTGTCATAGTGTGTCCGTATGTGCGTTTTTGGATCTTATTAATGCTGACTTTGTCCCTTTGGGTCAGTAAAGGAGTGGAAGCAGATTGAGATAACTCACACAAGAGCCATGACAGAGGTTATCCCTAGACCATGGGTGGGGGGTGTTTTAAACTCCCTGACACTATCATTTAATGCACCCCAAAAGGAGTTGTCCAGTATCATTTGTGCGTTTGGTCGGGACATTAGGTCTGTGAATTTCTGCAGCACAGCCTCTCTTTACTTATACCAGCTACAGTTGCTAGGAGATTTTTTAATCCACCACCAGCAGCAACGAGTGACTGAATGATACCTGTAGTTTATGTTCAGATGTTCAGGATATTGTTGAGGCTAAAAATGACTAAACATGACTGAGCAAACCTTTCGCATCTGTGACAGCAGGCCGTCAAACTCTTTCAGGTCCAGCGTGGGACCGTTGTAGGAGGTACAGCCGTTGGCAGCACGACCCAACCAGTAGATGGTGATCAGAACCTACAAAGAAAGAAAACATGCAGATATCATAGTGAGATCAGGGTTTCCCACACATAGACTTTACATGGGCGACCCATTTTGTGTTATCCGTCCGCGAGCACGACGCCATCTGCGATCGATTAACTAGTGGACAAAGATCCCTCGCTCTACCGCTCCGGTACCTGTTCGCTCTGCTATCACGTGAACGGTCTGCTTTATGCGCTCCGCAGTAACCCCGCAGTTCATGAGCGTGCTCCACTAGCACACAGCACCCCCCCCCCCCCCCCCCCCGTTCTCGGCTACCACCACAAGTATATTTCAGATCTGTGGGTAACACTGGAGATACTTTGTAACGAAAACAATGTGCAAAGCATTCTATGCTACTTAAATCATGACCCGTCAGATGTTATCTTATGCATGAAAGAGAGAGATAGTAATGTTTAGGCTTGTTGTGAGAACTACAGCAGCACCCCAGGTGATCCAGTGATCCTGAGGACAAACTTAAATTAAAGTTCCTCAGTGCAGGCTCAAGTCTTCATAATGATAAAATGGAGTTATTTAGAGTGAATATAGCGAGTTGGTTGGAAGCTTGAGATAGCTGTTGCAATCCAAACCAATGAGTGCCACACAATAAATTAAATTGCATAAAATGTGGTTATTTTTAAAATATATTGTGTAAAACAATCAAGTGGACGTTCAGTCTGTGCTCTAGCAATATAGGCCAACATGTAACATTTATTCTAGTCTTCTTAATGTCATATGTTACAATGCAGGTTGTCTGGTCATTTTAATCCATTTCATTCCAAAGATGTTACATGTTAGCTAACCTGCACAAACATGACAAGACCGAGCCATTGTTCTGACACTGAAAAGAGTCCCAGGCACATTTCCTGCTAAAATATAGCAGCCCTCCACGGGTCACAGCGATTCATATTTGCATGTAAGCTTCCTTAGCCCTGAGTGCATACACTTCCAGGTCAATCTCCCCACCTTCCAACACAGAAACCCTGTAAACTCAGATCTGAAGGAGGCTGCAGTTCCTTTGCTTTCTTGTAAGCTAAAGTAATGCTAAATGTGAATCTTGCTGCATTCAGTGTAACACTCTTTGGAGTCAGCTGAAACACTTCAATGCAGAATGTACAGATTTGCTGTGCCCACAGGGAGATCACACAGCGCTGCACCTTTAGCACCCAGCTATATTTACTGTGTCCATGTCAACCGGCACTCCACAGGGATTGCTTTGATAGGGGAACTCAACATGGCTTAATGTGTGTATTACAGGCACACTGTCAGTGTACACACTCTCTGCCGCCATTCAAACAGTCTTGGAAGAAGAGTAAATGAGCTGGCCTGCTGCTCAGAAGAAGAAAAACACATTTTCTGAGTGATTATGTAATGTTTCCTGAAGGGAAATTCAATGTTTTAACTACAGAATGAGCCATACTAGTAGGGATGAGGCTATAGAAAAATGACTGCTGATTGCAGAGTGTATTGCAGTCTTTCGCAATGCGTTTATTACGCATGTTGTCATCGCAATAACGATAAAATAAACGATATATTGTAAAGCTCTAAGCCTATGTATTGCATAACTGAGTCGTGTTGTAGGCTTCGCATGTCTTTGTTTAGTGGAGCGGGGAGCTTGTTTGAGCAAAGAGCATCAAAACAAATGCATAATTAACAGCTTAAGAGAGCAGAGAGATCAGTACAGGCAGACACTCAAGGCTGATGTCATGTCAAAGTGGTATTGAACCATCCCTAAGATGCAACACTACAGGAGGGAGAGGTTTCATGTTTTATCACTTCAAAATCAGGGACATCAGATCACAGGGAATCAGACCAAAACTATTTGCAAAGTAGATCTAAACTACATAGCATTCTACTTCTATGAATGCACATCATATTTTATCTTGCTACCACACAGAAAACCACTCATCCACAAGAACTGTGCTCAAGCAACACTTCACCTTCTCTCTCTCTCTTATTTTATTGCATCTTTGTCACCACGAGTATAATGATAATATCTGTGCCAGCTCCCATAAAAGTAGGTCGGCTCCAGAGGTATTTCAGCCACAGACCAGTATGCTTCAAACTGATCCACAATGATCCCAATAGCATCAACTGAATGGAAATATGCCACCACTGCTCTGCATGATTTAAACAAGCAACATTTAATCTAAAACAAACAACTGTACCAAAACCAACACTTGGATACAAGCACTAAGATACAATAGTTCAAAGAAAACATTTCAGGGGAGTTTGAATGATAGACAATTGTAAAGAGGGCCTGACAGTGAGGTAATGCACACATCACACTCTTCAGTTTCAGCAACAGTCTCACCTGGCAGATGTGGAAAGACCTGTCAAAGAGGTGTCGTCAAAAAAACCAACAATCCCCTCTTTGTGCACACACACATTGGTGATGCATACACAAGGGCATGAAATAACCTCAAATGCACCTTCAATGTAAACACAAACACACAAGTGCATGCATGCTGCAATCCACAGACCTGTGTACATACATACTCCAAACTAGTCATCAAACACATGCACTACCAGCACTTTCTTGCTCACACCTGCACTGCTACACAGTCATCTTGTGACTTCAGCAATATTTCACGCATTCCATGCAAATGCCCTATTTTTACTTCGTCCAATCTGCTAAACAACACCTTCATCGCTAAATCAGCATATTGTTCTAAATGCAGGTCCTTCACCTCTCAATATGTGACGTGCTGCAGTACCAGCTGCTATGTCCTCAGTGTGAGATCCATAGTGTGTGAGCGGGGTCGTGGCTGAAGCCTGCAGCTTGCTGGGAGTTTGTGGGCCGCTTGCTATCGCTGCTAATGTGGCTGAGAGTCCCTGTGTGTCGTCAGCTAAATGAGCTAGCAGGCCGGCTCTGCAGCTCCACACATTAAGTGTACAGTGCACAGCAGCATCACAGAGAAGGAGGGAGGGGGGTGGAGAGAAGGAGGGAGGAGGGGTGGAGAGAAGGAGGGAGGAGGGGGGAGAGAAGTGCTTTGACTGCAGAGTGGGCAGGGCTAGAAGTATATGTGTTCTACTTAAAGCAGCATTATGAGAAGGGACAAGATTGTGTTGAAGTACATTTGAACATAAAAACACTTGGAGCAGAACAATTGATGATTAGAAGGAAGATGGAACAACAGAGAGAAAGATAGACAAAGGAGTTAGAAAAGGAAGGATGGACAACCAACTAACAGTTAGAATAGATGGAAAGTAAAGTAAAACAGAAAGAACGGATACAAGTAGAAAAGCTTAATACGGTTAAGTCAGACTAGCACACTAAGAGCAGGTCACACTTAAGTGGAAAGATACAATACTACATGGAGTTGACTGTGAAGTGAGCATAACTGGAACTGACATGATAACAGCAGAGTGACAACCGCAGCACAAACAGAAACACTGGACCATAATAACAGTTTACAACCAAACGTACATTTAGCACACAAACAAAGGATCCCGCTATAATGCAGAAGTATCACTTACATTCTTGAGTTTTCGGCTGCAGTCACTTCCCCTGGGAGATAGAGAAAGAGACAGAGTGAGACACAAGAGCAACTTTAAATATTTACTGAAATATCTTGCATAAATATAACAGCAGACAGCTTTTAAAGCAACCAAACTCCCACATATTTGTGCAAACAGTAGCAAAACCATTGAATAAACAGCGTGGAGGAATCTTGCAGTGAACCCACACACTGCCAGACTCCACACTTGCATCTCTGGATCCAGCTTGTTGTTAGGTGCTGTATTTATTTGATATTTCCAGCAGTATTAGTCACTGGCTGTAAGAAGGCAAGGGCTCCCTGAGATCGAACATTTTGCAGCAGTGGTCATCATTCCAAAAGACAAATTCTTCTGCAACGGTAAGTCTGGGGAGATGGATGTCAGAGTGCCGGCCACATGTTTTGACTGCCAAGTGCACAGAGCAGAAACACCACAGCAGTGGACACTTAGCGCCATGGATGCTGCCAAAATGGAAAGATGTGGATGACCACTTGAAGCTATAAATGGGAAGAGGAATGAAGCAGTTGTAAAACAGACCCTGATACACACTAGTGTCGTGGAAACAGACTTCTATCTAGACTAAGATAGGGAGACACATCAGCAGAGATATATACTCAGACATTCCTTAATACGAAAAATACATTCCTAGAAGTGATACTGGTTTTAAAAAAGAGCCAGGGGTTCGGGGGGGGGGGAGTCGTTTCTCTTCCTGGTGCTAGTTGCAGATTTTTGCAGGATTTGGTCGGATGGAAAATATGTTGGTTTTAACGATTCCCTCATTAGCCAACAAATACTTTTTTCGGATATGTCGAATTGCTTGAATAGTGGACCAACTTATATAGAAAACATCCTTTCGATGGAGCACATTGCTATGTATGGGTGAAGGGTTGCTTGAATGGAATATTGATCTCATTATAGGGACACTAAATCATATTTTAGAGTAAACATGTTACCTTTAATACTTTACGTAAGCGTAAGTAACACACCTCCTAACAGAGCTGAATTGACCAATGAACTTGTTTGACCGTAAGTACACATGACACCATTGATCAAGATTTAAGAGCTACGTATACGATTACCCATAACACCCTTCTCTGTGTAGACGATACTGTGTATATTGCTTTGTAGCTTCAGGGGATCCGAGTTAACACACTAACATATCTTTGAAAATAAATTATCTTATGAGGATACAAAGAGAAAGAAGGATGTAGTGCATCTCGTCGTATGGAACCTGTATGGCCCGGTATGAAAAACAAAACAGATCTTTAACTATAAAGCCGATTTCGATTTTGTTACGTGATGGCATAATATTGTTGTCGGACAAAAGACATAACGGCAGCAACCGTGAAATGTAAGAAGCATTCATACAAAGGAGAAAATAATGAGCATGTGTTGCCTGAGTTTTGAATTCATAGTACATTAGGACACTGCTGATAACTAGTTTCCAAGGCCTGAGGGTCACAACGCTTACATCTCTCAACACATAAGTGACACCTAAATTGCAGTTGCATGGGTTTTCCATGACAGCAGTGACCTGAGAAAGAGAGGGTTGAACGAGGAGGAGAGGAGCAAGGTGAAAGTAGCTGGAGGGAAGGATCTGTAAACTCTTTCTGTCAGCCGACTAAATAAACACAGAGACAGGTTGCTTTTCTCTGCGTTACCTTGTAGAAAGAAACCTGAAGGACAGATTCCACAAGGTATTAGATCATCATATCTCTTCCCTTTTTTCTGTCTCTCTCTTTGTCTCTATCTGAGTCAGTTTCCATGATTTCATTCCAACGGTATGAGTGATAACAGAATAATAAAATGTCTAAGATGTACTGTTTCAATACCACTGTGTTATCAGCACAATGATTTTGGAGATAACATAGAAAACATATGGGTTATTTTCTAAATCTGTTTTCATGAACTCATCTTAAAAACTATGAATATTTGATATTCTATGCGAGTTAATCGTCTAAATAGGAAAAACATACAGTATGACAATTAATCAAGGAAACAGTGTACATTTTGAAAAGATTGTATTTACACAATAAATGGAGAGATTTTATGAAGATTTATATTTTGCTGAAGATGAATGAAATCCTGGAGGGCGTGTTTTTTGTGAATTCCTGATTTGCCTGATTTTTTCTACCAAACTGACAGAAAAAAACATTAAATTGTTTATATTTTTCGTCGTATTTCAAAAGATTGCGTAACATCTGTTGGACAGCTGAATGGAAACACAGCTTCTCTCTCCTCTCCTATCGTGGACTGCCTGGCAAAAGCTCACTTATCTTGGAAATCGATCTGCTTCACACGGAGGAAGAGGAGATATTTCAGGCCTGAGCTCAAAGTGTATCATAACCTGTCTGTCTTTACGCCACGCTGTCAAGCGCCGTTTCCTAGATGAGTAAACACCTGTCCAGAAACTCAGGGTGAGGAGACCCGTAACTGCTTCCTGTCATGTGTACAAGCTGCAGGAAATAGCATCCTGTACGACAGAGGGTTACATAACAACTGGAAACAGCTTAGGGCCTGTAAAACAATGACTCTTTTCTTTTTAATGACTGATTTGAAATGCCATTTTCATAATGTCTTCCATTTTTGTAAAGCACTTTGAATTGCCTTGTGTTGAAAGGTGCTATATAAATAAACTTGCCTTGCCTTACTAACTATAGATTACCCAAATATTCCTGATGATATCTTTAGAGTGAGTGAATATTGGATCAGTTTGTAAACTATCTTTTAAGAGAGAGAGAGAGACGATCCATTTAAACTAAGATTAAGCTTTGCTTCTTGTTTTTTTATTGTTGTATTATCCGTTTGTACTGATCATATCGGGCCTGTCCATTTCACACAAGTTCAAACTACTCTTGGACAGAGTAAAATACCTTACAAACTGTAATCATCTGTTCACACAAAATGATATCAAATCATATAATTACTGCCGTGTCTTGGTCTCAGGCGGTGGTATTCCTGAGTGTGGTAGCAGCTGTAGTTAGCTTGCTTACAACAGCATCCAACAAATTATTCTACATGTTTCTGATTACAAGACACTTTTTTGACATTATCGCCTTAATTAATGTCCTTGCATGAAGAAGCATCTCCCCTTCTCTGTTGCGCCAAACAGTTATATAAACACAGATATAAGCATCAGTGTTTCTTGAACTAGACATCAATCTGTCCCCTGTGTTGACTGGTTGGACATTGGATAGCATCTAGACGTGTCAGTCTGATTGATTTTGCACTATTCAGAGTTCAATATGCAACTGTAAATACATACAGGGAATGATCCTGAGTGACTGAGGACAACATATTTTAGGATAGACAATGTCATTTGCAAATGTATCCTAACAAATTGCATATTAGTTTAGATTCATTGGAAATTGACAGGTTTTAGCCTAAACACATGTTATAACTTTGGTTGGTGTCAATCACCCGACTCCCACTGGGGAAAAATCCACAGCAGCACATGCCCCACACACACAGACACACAGACACACACACAGTATATTTAAGAACTGCATGCTCTTTCTGTCTTTGTTACCAAGCAACACAGTAGGAGTCATGGTTCAGAGAGTGAGTGTTGTGTTTGGACAGGGACCAGTTGTGTCAGACAGATATGGTATTGTTGCTCCACTCTGACAGGCTATACAAACTTCCATTGACTCTCAGCTAGTTGTTTATGTTGGCAGTGAACTGGGGGATTGTCTAATGTAGAGAATGACAGACAGGGAGTGACACACAGACAGTGATACAGACAAGCCCTCTGTTAAGAACCAATTGAATTTGTGCATAATTAACACTCAGTCCATCCACTTAGTGAAATACAAGCCTTCCTTCATCATCCACATGTTGATATACCGACCTTGAGATGAGATCTAGCTTATACTCAGTAAATTGGTTGTCATAAGCATTTTGATAACTACAAATCTGTCTTGTATTGCCGTTTGCTTGGATTTATTATGGTTAAATCATCAGTTTAATGTATTAATCACAGCACTAAATTGAAATAAGGCCACATTTTCCTAAAACCCCTTGCGTCCTGTCACAAACACTTAGCTGTCTTATGCCCTGTAGTTTGTTTTGCTATACTAAAAGGTATTCTACAATTGCATAATGGACTCCTTACATCAAAGACGCGCAACACAAATAAATCCACTTTGTATGATCTAAACACTTGGTGTGTGTGTGTGTTGGATATTTTTGATTTGATGATGTTTAGGAACATAATAAAACACACACAAACACCCCAACCCGCAAACACACACCTGTTGACGCTAAGTTAATTCTGCAGCTTAAAGACTTACTTGGCAGTGGGGCGTGTTGACGTGTCCTGCAGGTCTCCAGGGTCAAACAGCTGGGAGCCTTTTAGTCCCAACTCCTCACAGCCTCGAAGAAACCCGCTCAGGTTGTCCTGCACAGAACACACACACACATCAGGGTAAATGCACTGCTGGCAGAGACAGAAGGAGGTCCGGTCCACACACACACACATCAGGATAAATACACTGCTGGCAGAGACAGAAGGAGGTCCGGCACACACACACACATCAGGATAAATACACTGCTGGCAGAGACAGAAGGAGGTCCGGTCCACACACACACACACACACACACACACACACACACACACACACACACACACACACACACACACACACACACACACACACACACACACGACACACACACACAACACACACACACACACACACACACACACACACACACACACACACACACACACACACACACACACACACACACACACACACACACACACACACACACACACACACACACACACACACACACACACACACACACACACACACACACACACACACACACACACACACACACAACACACACACACACACACACACACACACACACACACACACACACACACACACACACACACACACACACACACACACACACACACACACACACACACACACACACACACACACACACACACACACAACAACACCCTCTCTGATTCACTTAAGTCATAGTTATATTAGAAAATACACGTCTGGAATCATCACAATATAGCTTTATGAGGTCACGCTCATTAAGCATGGACTTTTGACTTCTCTAATACTCACTTTATCCATGAAATAAACCCGATGCTACCCTTACATTTTAAAGCAGGTCTTAACTCCTAAGAGACCAGATGAACAATCTGTCCTATTATTTAAAAAATGTCCTCATTCTTTAGTTGTAAAATGAAAACGGGTCCCCACAAAGATAGAAGTGCTGCAGAGGTAAAGCCAGGATCATCTTTATTTACCACTCATTAAGTGTCTCTATTCGAAACCGCTCTCTCAAGGTCTCTCTGACCAGCAAACACACACAGACACATGAGCACACAGCCGAAGTGAAGAAGAACTGTATTTATAAGAGATGACAAGAATTATATTTGACTGATTTCAAGAGTATTGACTCATCCGTTTCCCCCTGCGTACAAACATGCAAACACACACACACCACAAACACGACTACACAACATGAAAATAAGGATACCTGCCCGACAGAAACGAGACACCAGCCGGTTTTGTGGACGGATTTGGTCCTTTCAGATTACTCCAACTTTCACTTTTCACCTTCTGCCTCCTCCAAGTGGCTTCCTTTTTCTGTCTTCCCTCCTTCACCTGCTGTCCCTCACTGATTCCTTCCCTCTCTTCTTCCTTACCTTTCACTCTCCCCCCATCTTCTCAGCTGTCCTCCTCTCTCCCCTCTGCTCTCAGACTAACTCTTTGTTGGATGCAACCTGAGCCGAGCTCTCCTCTCCTGTTCCCAGGTTCTCTCTCTCTTTGTTTCTATGCCTCTCTTTCCTGCAGAGGGCCACAGCCAAAGCCCTTCTCTCTCTATCTATCCCCCCCCCCCCCCCCCCCTCCCTCAGGGTGTCACCATTTCCTCTCCACCCTGATTGTCCCAAGCACCCACTCTCTAGCTTTCTTTCTCACACACCAAAACACAAATACAATGCACTCACTACTGTACAACATACACCTTCATGCTAAATGCTGTTATGAATGTACATCATTGTGTGTGCTCAGACACAAACAACTATGTTTGCACACACTGATGAAAGAATACATGCATGGCTACAAACACACTTGGGAAAACTTGTTCTCACGATCGTTTCTCATTTGAATCCCCTCCAAACTAACCCACCCTGCAGCTTCCTGTGTTTTTAGGACAGCACCATCGCTGTGCTCCTGGTGAGGGAACCCCACCCACACGCACTTGCAGTCACACACAACAATTTCCTGGAGAAAAAAAAAAGACACAGCAATCTCTTCTTTTGACAGTTTTAATCCAGGGAGGACACACCCACAGCAGGCCTCACATTCACACTGCTCATCAAGGTCATATTGGACTTAAAAATAAAGGGCTATCAGTGTTGTTGCATCCAATTAATGTCAGTGTTGGATCTATTTGATAATATTTCAAAGATATTAGAAATAAGTTATGACCTGTGGAACAATAAGAGACCCCTTAGGGTGGGGGTATTATGTAACAGGGACTCTTTGTGTGGACGTTAACAGAACCAGGCCCTCAGGAGCTGTTTGATAAGGAAGCAGCAAGGAAACCATATTTCTAAGAGTGTTAAACAACAAGGGAGCACTTGAAAAGTCTAGCCAGGGGCGAGATGTGGATCAGGTGGCATTGATAAGAATCTCAGCCCTCACAAAGCAACTAACATTTAACCTGTTAAGCCCCGAGCCCGTTTTTCAGGTTTCAGGCTCGAAAATGACATGCCCAAAACAAATGACTACAACTTCACTTCTAAAAGGGTTATATGAATAATTTCTTTTATCAAAGCAAGGTTACATCTGTGAGTTGGATGTAGAAGTGTCAGAATCAATATAGATGTTTCTCAGTCAGAGTAAATTCAGATGGAACATAGTAAAAAAAGGTAAATTCTTACCTCCGCCTACAAAAAAACAACATATAATAAGTACCCTGTATCAAGATTGAGTCAAAACAAGTTAAATTTGACCTTTTTAGAGAGATTTAGCAAAAAAAAGTTCCAGGCGGAATAGGCTTTCGGCACATTTGGGTATATCTGGTTCCATCAGTGCCATTTGACCTTTTTCAGGTACCAGACTATAAAAATGATGTATTACATTGAATTATCACCATAGGTATTCATTCCATTAAAAGAAAAAAAATTAAAATTAAAAAAATTAATAAAAAATTAAAAAAAAACTTTTTTTTTTTTTTTTTTTTTTTGAGAAAAAAAAAAGACCCGCCGAGGGGGGCTTTGGGGCTTAACAGGTTAAACCATTTTGTCTCACAAATGGTTTAAATCTTAAATGCAAACGGAAAAAAGGAAAGAGGCTAATTTCGAAGCACCTTGCTTAATGGCGAAAGGGATAGTTCAGTGTGTGTTTGGAGTGAATGTGTCAAAAAATGACCATGGTTGTGTGGTGATTTGCAGGTCAGTGCCACAGGAAGCTGGGCGTTTACTGCAAAGAAAGGACTGACAGCTGAATGTGTTTGTATAAGGATAGGGTGGTAGAAGATTGACTTCGGCACAAAGCACTTGTGTAAAAAAATGTAGTCATAATACATTTGGGCAAAGGATATACACAATTTGGAAATACCAACTATGTAGAAGAGTTTAAGAAAAACAGAAAAAATATCACCACAGCATTTACAACCAAATCTTAATATATGCTCAGTTACAAAACAAGTTAATTTGGAGTAAGCCGTAGAAAAGAGGGCCACATATTCCAAGTACCCTTATAACTAGATGTGCATATTATGCTGGTTAGTATTGTGTGTCTGTAACATACCGACAAAAGAGCTTGGGTTTCCTTGAACACAGCCCTCATGTAATCTATATCTCACTACCACGATTAGACCACCAAGGTTTCTCAGGGAGAGGATCAGTGCCCAAACCTTGATTTTGGACCTGGACAGAATCCAGAGAAAAGCTGCCCGAGCCTCTTGGGTGTCAGTGAGATACAGTATGTTCCCGATTCCTTTTCTCTCCCTCCCAAGGATAACAACCAGAAATAAGAGCAAGGTGAAGGGTAGAGCCAGCATGCTGCACTGCGCTGTGCTCTGTGTTATTTATGGTCTTGAGTATTAATATAAGACACCTGCTGTCTCATGTGCTGTCTCAATGTATCAGCCAAGCTATTTATAATTATCAATCAGTATCTGTGTTGATGCCTGATTAGATGCAACATCAATTGTAGGGCAAGAAGGCTAAATATAAGTTTAGTACTTTCAACAGATGTGACTACACTTTTATAAAACTCCTAATATTGCCTTGAAAATGCAATCTTAGGACAATGTTTACACACACTGATGTGGTTTCATTTGAATCAAAATAGTTTAATTTTCATAGTAAATTCTTCTAACTTTTCGATGCATAAGATTTCCTAAAAATGCACGACTGTCAGGACTTTGAAAGCTCTCACTGCACCACGGGCAGTTCAATTATCTTAAAAACACTAATAATGCATACAATCCTTCAAATGAATATGAAAATCCCCCAAGCTGGAAGTTTTACATATCGTTCGGAAGTCATGTTTTTCTACGTGTACGTCACTGTTGCCCGAAGGTTGACGCAATAACACATTCTTCTAACATTGCTACCATTTAACATGCAGGGCATTATCCACTGCTTGTCTGTTTACACACCGTAAAACATGAGCATACCAGTGGACCCAGAGACGTCCGGGGACCCAGAACGCAACAACCAACCTGTTCAGACCAACACTGAGCCACACAGGGCCGAGCTGCCAAACCACTGAGGTCGCCGCTCTAATTACAAAACAGCCAGAGCTCCTCAGAGACTCATTTTCCCATTAGCCCCCAAACAGGAAGAGGAAGGGGGAGTAGCCTGTGTTTTATTACGATGGTCCAGATAACAGCAGACGCCTTGTTTATGTGTTTCTCGCCTCTTTAATCACAGCTATGAGGAAGAAAAATACCTGCAAAGCCACAGGAAGCCAAGTTATGAAACGTTCAGAGTATACAGGCTTTATTGTATAGACTGGAAACCAGTAGGTGTGATTTTTCTTTTTCTTACAGTATGTTGTCCTCAAACGGCTACTGTAAACATGTTGTGTTCAGGGAATGATTCATCCTCACCCTATGGGCCAGTTACCAATGCAATGTTTATCCATCCTGAAATTGCAGCGCCTCACCTATGGCTAATAGGTTTAGTTGTTTTCAGCAAAAGCATCCAGCACAACAACAAAAATTAATCAAAGCCTCATTCATACTCTGGAAACATATTGATACGTTTCCAAAATGGAACATAAGAAAGTGTGTTTGTCCAATAGAGAGGCGAAGTCCCGCCCATCTACTTCCGACCCATGGGACCTTATTTTGGAAAAATTATGTATTGAAGTCAATGAGGAGAGAAAGATTATCTTTCGATCCCGTTTGAATTGTGCCACGAATTACACATATGATGTTTGTCAATATTAAAAAATCATTTCCATGTCAAAAAAGTCAGTTTGTCGTAAAACTGTTGAAATATAAGACTATGAAAAATACGCAACTAGAAAGACTACAAATCCCAGAGTCCCGGTCCCGCATGCTGGCTCTTACGGAACCGACTAACTCCCCTTGTGTGTATGTACAGCTCTCAACATGCCCAGACTTGGAGTGATTTTCACCTCTTTTAATACTTTCCGCCTCATTCTGAAAGAAAGAAGTGAAATGTGCCAACGTGACGGCCGTCTTGGTGTGTGGTGCGAGACGGGAGATGTAGTTCATTGAGCGGTTTCACACAAAAAAAAAAGTGTTACTTCACAGTTTTACGACACATTTTAATTCTTTTGACTTGTAAAATTATCTTTTAAATTGACAAACATCATATGTGTAATTCGTGGCACAATTCAAACGGGATCGAAAGATAATCTTTCTCTCTCCATTGACTTCAATACATACTTTTTCCGAAATAAGGTCCCATGGAGGTCCCCCGGAAAGGGAGGGACTTCGCCTCTCTATAGTGATCTGGGAACAAGACAACATTTGATCCTGGATAGAAAGTCAAATGTGTTTTAAACATCTGTGTTCATACAGTATTCATAAAGTGGTTTGTCATCAAAAAAACGTATGTCTATAAGGACAATTTCAGTTAAATATTACAATGAGTGCAGGTTAGGGTTTGAATGCTTTGTTTCCTTGATGACCAACATCATGATTTCAGAGATTTACAATACTTTGGCCATGTAAGAATAGGTGAAATGAACAGATGATTAAAAATAAAGCTAAATGTAAGGGATTTGTTTAACAGTGAGGTATGATACATTCTTAGTTGTCTGGAGGAGTAAGATGTAAGAGAAGATAGCTGCATGCATTGGAAAAAAACGATCCGCTAAATGACTGAATATTTCCATGTGTGTCATAAAAATAGGTGCAACAGAGGGTTTTGTGTGTCTTAACATAATCATATAACCCTTAAATAATGACATTACAGGAAGGAACTGACAACAAACTGACTTCTTATCCATTTTGGAAAAGAGTAAGTGGAAATTAAGTTAGAAGCCCTGGAGACCAAATAATAATCTCATTATAGAGATCTCTTGTGTTGCCAGAGAGCCACATGTTGTTGGAACAAGAGCTAACTCACAAGCTAATAAGGACGACAAAATAACAGCTAAGGATGAAATCGACTAGACTTTGATTAAAACTGGACTTCAATGTGCAATGTAACAATGTAACGTATGTAGAACAACTGTAGTTTTCCTGTTCTGCCCTTTTAGATTGCATTATACTAATCTGATTATTCTTGCATCCAGAACAGCACTTTCAATAAAAAAAAAAGGTTGTTTAAACAATGTTTTTGCCGTGTGTAATTCATGGCACAATTCAAACGGGATCGAAAGATAATCTTTCTCTCTCCATTGACTTCAATTCATACTTTTTCCGAAATAAAGTCCCATGGAGGTCCCCCAGAAAGGGGGGGACTTCGCCTCTCTATAGATTGAATTACAAACAAATGTAGCGTTACTGTATCCACATGCTTGATGTTATTATTATTTACTTTGGAAGAGAAACTGCTAATGCAAATCAAATCTTCGCATTTGTTTTCGACAGCCTTGATTGATCTCATTGAAATTAGGCAGCTAAACACTCCATTTAACAACTTGAGGAAGTCAATTGTTTTTACAGTTATTTGCTGACTTTTAGAAAAGTGGCAATGCACCCTGATATATTTTTGAAAGTCATTAAAAACCCTTTAAACCACTTCAAATATGTGGCTGTCAGCAGCACAGATGAACTGATAACTCGCTATCAGGCTACATATAGAGGAATGTGTGATTAAGTACACGAACGACTGCAGGGTGGTAGCTGATGAGGAAAAGAAAGCAAAAAGAAAACTCAACCAAAAACAAGGTGCAACAGGAACTTCATATTTATGTGTTATGCAAGGATGACAAACACTACCATGGGGAGTGAGCACAGAAGCTCCAGAGTTTAAGCCCTAACAGGATAATCAAGTGTTATTCTAGCAGTGATTGTAAAGTGGGAAAAAGGCTTGTAAAGAATGTCGGTGTAATTATCGCCACTTGTAAAAAGCCAGAGACGGCTGATTGGCAGCCATTAGTGACGCCGTGTGATTAGAAAAGCTGTTTTAGCCCAAATCAGACTTCCTGTTCTCGTGTGTCCTGCTGTGATCTGAATGATAACCGCCGGCTCCCCTTACACTGTTTTAACCTGCTTTGTGTCTCACTAATGTGTATCGGGACTCAACAGCTAATAAATGCAACTTTGACTTTATGATTGTCATGACGGAGAAAAATCAACCTGTCAGTGTAGTTGAATATGTTTAAATCACACGATAAGGCCAGTAATGAAATAAATAATAATGTCTCATTGTCCATTCTATGAATTTTGACCCAAGCCAAAATATAATATTGTTTCTTAAATATAATCAGCCACAGGGGAGGCTGTGGCTCAGTGGGATAGTGCGCTGAACTTAGTGCGCTGAACTTAGTGCGCTGAACTTTGAATCAGGGGGTAGCAAGTTCGAGTCCCACTGCAGTCAGCATGTTGTTGTGTCCCTGAGACACTTCACCCCAAATTGCTCCTGTGGGGATTGTCCACAGTACTGAATGTATGTAAGTCACTTTGGATAAAAGCGTCTAACAAGTGAAATGTAATGTAATGTTAAGCAATGTTGTTGTCATGTTGTTATTTAAGATTGGATCCGGGATGGAAAATATTTGAAAATGTACTTTTTAGAGGAAAGAAATCCTAACAAGTTTGAAAAATTGTAATTATTGGTCTTTAATTTTTGTACCGTAACCTGGTCTTTCCAACAAAATACCCCCAATGTTTTTCATAAACGGCCTTTAAGACAGCAGTGAGGAATACAACAGCGAGCTACTGTAAGTTAACAAGAACTAAGCGATAGACTTTCAGTGTGTCTCTGTTCACGTGCCGGTCCTGGTTCATAAAGGTCACTTCATCCAGATCAAGGTCTTAAGTTGTCATGAAAGGGCTGCAGTGTATTGCACTGTACTCTGGTCTAAATGTATCAGTGTTCAGGTCTACTGAAATTCACAGGCTCTCATTCAAAGCAGGGGGCAAACATAAATTTTTTTATTTAAACTGCTGACTACAACATACATTATTCAGTTGAGGTGTGATGACCTTGAAGGAATTTTTTTATGCTAATATAAAAATATGTTTTCGATGGTTAAAGTAAGTCAAATACATTTGGTTTAGTCAATGAAAGGACAGGAACTGATATTGGCACACATGTTGGTTTTGATCAACAGTCTACTGTGAATTTAACTGTGTCACACACGGCTGCTGATGGACACGTCTACTGTGACGACTAGGGTTGGGTATCGTTTGGATTTTAACGATTTCGGTTCTGATTCCGGTGAGAGGGTAAAAATAAGTCCCATGCCAATTTCACTGGGAGAAAAATATATATATGAAAACATTAAGTCATATCTGTATTCCTATTTACAAATCACTTAACTGTTTCATTTTGTTGCGGTTATTGAATACAATTATATTAAAATAATCTCTGCATTGTTTAGTTAGTTTTAAGTGGTGCAGTTTGAGAATATACAACTGGCCAAGTCTCCTCTGATGTTACACTGCAACCTGCCTGTGAGACAGAGTCCAACCATACAGTCTGTGTCCAACACATGTCCTGCAATACATATGCTGCAGCTGCCCAGCTGCTCACTGTTTGTAAAAGTACATCAATAGTATTTTCATTTCAATAATGTACTTTCTATACCCTGCTTCATAAACAATACTGACATCCCTGTGCTCCTCCGAGTCTGTCTCACAGTCCGGGGATGTGAGGACAGCGCAAGGACACAGACAGGGAGGCTGGTTCACTTCATAAAGGAAATGGCGGTCAATATCAACAGCATAGGAGTTAAAACGCTTAATAACCTTCATTACGTGTTAGAGAAAGAACATAAGAAAGGTTGACAAAGATGAGGCTGTTAAACGGGCAGCAGAGCCGCTGTGTGTAGAAAGAGAGAGAGAGGGGGGGAGAGAGAGAGAGAGAGAGAGAGAGAGAGAGAGAGAGAGGAGAGAGAGAGAGAGAGAGAGAGAGAGAGAGAGGCTGAGCTGGAACAGGATTTCGGTACCCAACCCTAGTGACGACTGAAACTGAGATCTTTAAACTGCATCTATCTGTAATCAAACCCACATAACACACTTGCTGCTGTATAATGTCACATGATTATTGTCAGTGTATGTGTGTAGTACTCATTTCTTTCTCACGTCTTTGGCACTCACTAAAAGTGCAGTTTGGATGATATGTATCACTAAAAAGTAGAAAAATAATCTGGCAAACTCTGTTGATGTACTTAAAAAGGTGTTTGACAGGGTTGTTAATCTTTAGGTCGCCTCATTGCTTTGGAGAGAAGAAGCACACTCATACTACAGCCTATTTGAAATGTTAATACATAAAGTTTTTCATCCATGGGTTAAGGCAAATATACCAAAGTAAAACTATGAAGAAAGAGCGAGGTGAGGAAGAAACAGACTGAAAGCCAATAAGTAACTAAAAATCTAGAGAAATAATTTTCCAAAAAGATCATTGTACTCTCTGAAGTGCTGTTGTGAGGTTGCAGGAGGAAAGAGGACTCACCAGGCCAGCTATGGGTGTTGGAAGTCTGTTAATTTTCTTTACCAGGCCAGGTTTAATGGAGCTCAGCAACCTAACAAAAGACACAGAGGGAAGAAAACATCACAAGCTGAATTTAATAATAAAAACAAAACGAAAAGCAAGCCTGTGTACATTTGTTTTTCTTTGTAATATTTGAAATGAAACTCTGCAAAGTAAGTTCAAACCCAGTTCATACAGAATGAAATAACTGCAGGTCAAAGAGATAAAGAATGTGTGAAGCTGTGTGTTTGTCTTTAGAGTAAAGAGGGGGAACAAAAGGGGAGAGAGAAACATTTTCTGAGGGTCCCATGGTGGCATTGGCCCAAGGTTTATAACGACTGAGATACTAAATCACAGTGGAGAATTGTTGCGTCTCCTTCCCCCCGCTGGGAGCTGTTAAATAGTTCCAGTACTCTTGGGAACATGGTCCTTCTGCCGTCAAATCTCATTGCAAGACAGTTCTTTTACGGTTACAGTATATTTCTACAACCTTGGACAGCATGTCAGTCATAAACAAGCCACAGTTTCCCCCCCCTCTTCGCTCCCTCTCTGTCTCCAGTTTCTCTCTTTTGTGTGTGTTTTCATCAGAGGAAGCACTGTAATGATTCTGCACTGTAAACTAAAAACCCACTCTGGGATAATCTTACAGTATTAGACATCGGCGGTCCTGTGATGTCGATGGCATTCCAGCAGGTATTTTGTGATGAACTGCCGTAATTTACCTTTTAGTGAACTCTCTTTCCCTCAGACTTCCTGCTGTACTGTATGCTTCCCAGAATAACTTTCAACAACCCCAAGAGAAGGGTGTTCTCAGTGCCGCATACAATATGTGTAGGTGGGGAGAGTGGGCAATGCGAACAGTGGAGACAATATTTCAACTCTTGAAAGACATTATCAGAATAATGTTGCAGTCTGCTTTATTCTTTTATATTTAGCCTCCATAGAGGATTTCACCCTCTGTGGCACATGTGTCAAACTCAAGGCCCGGGGGCCAAATCAGGCCAGTGGTGGATTTAATTTCGGCCCGCAGGATCATTTCTAATTACTATTAGATCTGGCCCGCCGGGAAATATTGCACGCATTGATGAACTTGCACCCAAGATGAGATGCCAAGTATCTGGCTTGAACTAGCATCACAGAGCAGCAACCTGAGTTTCAATGGATGTTTCCTTCTGCACTTTCTTTCTTGCGACAACAGGGCATGTTTGGTTTTTTCTTTGAGGGAAATAGTTTTTTTGAAGCTGTTGCAATCATAAGAAATGAAGCTGCAGATAGAGCCATAAGAAATGAATGCAACTGATTATTTAATGTTGTTTTTATAGGCAATAATTTAAGTATTTAATTTATAAGTTCATTTCAATACGTTTTGCAATAAACATTGAACCAGTCCGGCCCCTGACTAGTACCGATTTTTTCATTTTGGCCCACTGTGTATTTGAGTTTGACACCCCTGCATCAGTACAGATGACTTTGTTTATTGCCCCTGAGATTGACTTTTTCAAAACATGAATCCAGATTCTTTTTTTGGGAGTGCGGCCCATTTGTGTCCACTCAAGACTGTCCCAGTTGTTAGTGTTGTTGTATGAGAGTGTTTCCTGTTTTTAAAAACAGATACAATCCAAACAAACACAGTACAGGCGATATAAATACATCCTCTTTTTGTATGTCAGGGACAAACACATTTCCTGACGCCTTGGTTATCGGAAAGATAAAGAGGTTGAAAAGTACTTCACTTTTGGAAGTAGTGAGATACAAAACAAACCTCTCTCCACCGCTGGACGGAAACCATTTACATGCATTAGTTGACTAAGTGCAGCGTTAAGGCTGGCGTCACACTGTCCCGAAATGTACACCAGATGGACACACGAATATGGAATTGTGAATTTCGCACGAAGATGGCCCCGAACTTGGTCAACAGCCAAGCAACAGCCGAAGCAAGTACGATGCCTACAGAAGGCCACACGATGGCACCCGAACCACACACGAAGGCATGTTGTTTCCATAGCAACAACAACTTCCTGTAAACAGCGTAAACTCGCCTTCAAAAATAAAAGCATCTAAATAAAACAGGAAGTTAACCTAAATTATATTTAAGACATACAACTGCAACGAAAGTAACAAAAACAATGTAATATCCTTTTCAGTTTCACAGAACACAAATTGTACTACAATACGATGGCTACACAACGGCATTGCGAGGGCTTCACGTAGTCGTGTTGCCTTCCTAAGACAATCGGGCAGCTTCTTGTTTCCTTCGTATTGTCTTCGTGAGGCGAAAAATGCCCGATGGCACCGATGATCACACGAAGTAAAGACGAAGATGACACGATTTGACAAGATGCCCTCACGATGGCCTTACGAAGGGCAAAATGGACACACAAATTCACCACGAAAATGAACCTTCGCAAGGTCTTTCGGCAATTGTTTGGCATGCCAAAGATTTTGCCACCGCTCACGAAGTTGCTGCCGGAGCCTGAGAAACTCCACCGGCGGTCATACGATGGCTTAAGATGCCCTCACGAGTGGCCCGATGTTGTTACGATCAGAGACGAATTTGAACATTTCCTTTATCGTGTGTCCATCTGGTGTCAATTTCGGGACAGTGTGACGCGGGCTTTAAGGAAGCGGATGTAAGGATGATGATTAAATAACAACAGTATAAAACCCAAAGACACTGCATTTGCAATCATATCAAACAGAAGCAAATAGCAGATCTTAAATTGGAAGACTGACAACAACAAAGTAATAATAATAATAATGATTCATTAGTTATCAAGAAAGATGCCAATTCATGTTCTAAACATAGCGATTCATTAATTATCTGCATGAGATAGATTCTGTTATCATTTTATAATGTTTGAATCACAAGAAGTGAAGACTTTGTTCCAGAAATTCCAAAACCAGTGGGGAAACTTTTAAATTGGATATGACGTCTGTATTCACAACAAACAGGGTTTAGACATCAGTGTTGTGTAACTGAACTTGTCAGATAGGAATGTGGAGGAAGTGTCTGTGTGTGTTTTCAGTCTCATTTTAGCACCTCGCCTTATAATGAGAGAGCAGAAAAGAGTTCACTGTGTCTCATGTGAGGAAACTGTAAAGGGGTATCAGTCTCTCTGATCACTGGACCATAGTGAAACAAGTGAGGGCATTTGGTTATGCGTAGATATTGTGTTTGATTAACTATTAGGGCTTTTTTCCTACCAATGCAGAGAAAGGCAGAGCACAATCCTATACAAATGATATAACTATTAACTTAGTTTAAAGATATATTCAAGAATGCCAGTGACTCGACCTGCTAGAGAGCATTGTGATAATGACCTTTGCACTCGTACTCTCAGGACTGGAGCTTTAATGAAGGTGTCACCCACTTCAATTCACCATTGAACACAATCAATCATCTCGAACCCATGACAAGTCAATAAAAACAAAGAAAGTCTTTGAGAAGAGCCGATCAGAAAGTGTAAAAAAACACATTTTCCAGAATAAGATTACCAAAGATAAAAGTAAAGGAGACAGCTACTGTAGTAGAGAAGCCTAATTGCTAAAGACAGTCAGATAAAAACAAATAAGATATAGTGAGAACTTACTCGCACAGCAGTATCCCATTCTCCAAACCGCCTCTGAAGTCCTTGTCACCAAAACATCTTCCTGTCACAGCCTAGAAAGAGAGAAGAAAGGAATGAGTTAGCAAAATATAACAAAAACAACAAAACACACACCATTAAAAAAACAAGTCAGCCTCTGAATCTAAAGTCTAAACACAAACGCTCTACTTAGAAACCAAGAAACAAGCCCAACAACCTTAATAGAACACTCCTTTCACGTGTTTCCCTCACGATAAATCCAGAGAATGGTCCACAAAGAGCCGTAGCCGTATATCAAGTCCCTCTCTAGTTAACAGCACTAAACACTAACAAGCTTGACATAAGCCACAATCATCCTGACCAAATGGCCGTGGCGGGCTAATGTGTTGTGACAGGGGGATTTAATGGCCAATAGTTACTCAGATCCTGTGAGGCTGCCTGTTTGCATGTATTTGCATGACTTTACAGTACATTTTCAGGCATGTGTGCTTCCGTGGGCAAATATAGCAACTCAAGTGCAGGCTAACATTTACTTACACACAAACACATGGTGGAACATTTGAACAGGTCCCAAACATGTGTAATGGTCTGTCACAGCAAAATGTTGGAAATAAATTGAACCCAAATTGCCGTTTTCTGCATATGAGCTTCAGCTGAACTTTTGACCTTTGACCTTTATTTATGTGAGTGAACAGGGCATCTTATTAATGCGTGTATGCCTCACATGAAAATGCAAAAAATAATCACAAGTGCAACGGAGAAATAACTGTCCCAATCAAGAATAGTGGTTGTTACAGGACTTTTAGGACCAGGCCTACTTATGGCGCATTTCCACTGCAGCGCGTAGCACGGTTTAAGCGTGCCGTGCCAAACCCGGCCCGTTTTTTGTTGCGTTTCCACTAGGGGTAGTTCTGGCTAGCGGGTACTTTTTCACAGTTTTTCTGGCCCTCCAAAATCGTGGTTCTTTCCGGGCCAACAACCGGGCTGAATATGCTAAACTAGTGACGTGAGTGGCTACAACTACAACACAATGAACATATTTTACCATGATTTAATTGTAATACATGTTTCAAAATGATGCCGAAGTAACAACATACTGAAACCGGTTAGTAAAAACCATGAATTAATGCTTTGACAAGTCTGCAGACAGACGGCAAGCGAAACACCTTTTAAAATGCGTGTTTTCTGAATGGAGATTGGCTAAGCTAACGCAGTATATGCTCCGACCGTCCACACTCACAACAACGGCCTATACAGACATAAATAAAGCAGCGACTGTATTCGCCATGACACAGGCAGTCTGTGGTTTGTACTTGTTTAACTTTTGTCTAGTTTCTGAACAGATATGAGGAGCTGTGAGCTCTGAGTGCTAACAGCTAACGGCTGATGTTGGTGTTGTGGTTCGCATTAAAGATGACGTCACGGCTCTGCCTACACTGCGTAACTATAGTTACTGCCCCAGCTACTAAACTGTAATGGAAACGCAGCATAAAGTGAGCCTGGCCTACCAAGGCCTAACTATACCGTACTAAGCCGTGCGAGGCCCTGCAGTGGAAATGCGCCATTACAATCCATTTCTTCTTACAGTGTCACAGGTTTGGTCATACAAAAAGGGAGAGGGGGGCTTTGGTCTGCTGGGTTGGAAGCCAAAACAATTACAAGATTACATTTCCTGAGAGATTATTTGACATGTATTTGCACAGCTGCGGAAGAAAAAGTGTGTCGATGTAGAGTGTCTGGGTCAGCTGTGTGTTTTGTTTCTGTCAGGTTCTTGGCCCGTTGTGAAGCCTAGAGCCGTTACAAAAGGAATGGACTGCTGTGTGTCAGCAAAGAGGTCGACAGTAGGCCTCATTTCTGCTGCTGGGGGGTGCTGGGGGGGCACAGAGAAGTGTCGTGTTTGGTACTTTGGACTTAGACAGAAAGAAAGCACATAAAGATAGAAAAACAGAGAAAAGAGAGAGGTAAATATGTTCCCTTTATGCTGCCATTTAGGTATTCATCGCTGCTTTTCCATTCTACACCAGCAGGAAATGGTTTGCTTCGTGGGTGGACAGTATCAAAGTGATGTGTGAGATCTGAGTGTGAGGCCCATAAGTTGGCCCTACAATTCAACTATATGGTCCACTAAACCAGGGGTTCCCAAAGTGGGGGTCGCGAGCCCGAGTGGGGGTCACGAGATGCTTACAAAATTTAAAAAAAATGTAATCAATTTTTTAACCCATCTGTAGAATTTCCCCGCAGCGAGGCTCCCCCCGTTGACAATCCAGTGTTTCTCCACTTAGACTTTTATCCATTGTTTGTTTTATATGCTTCTTGAAATCCTATAAAACTTTTCTTTTCTACAACAGATTACAAATCGCTTGAAAATGGTACAAACAAGTGGCAACATGTGTGACGAAGGTGTTGCGCTGGGCTAAATCATGCAATCGAAAATGAAACTTAAGCTCGCTCCATTGCGGAGATATTCCCGCGAGAGTGCGCAAAACGTAAATAAATAAATGCATTCACTAGCACCTGCACTAAACCCATGTTCTATGAAAACAGTTAATGGACCTGCTCTTCCTTGAAGATCTGCCACCTAAAAGTTTGTAGATTAAAAAGCTCATTCTGTATCGATATTTTAGATTTTTCTACTTAAAGTAGACCTATCATGCTATATTTGAATAATATAGTGTAGGACCATACCTATATAAGGCATATTTATACTTTTTTTTCCTTCAAAATACCAAACAGATCATGCATTTTAGCCATGCCTCATTTCGCTCAATTTGACATTTTTTAGCTCTGTTTTTGCAAGGGCTGTTTCTGTGAGAACAGCACCATCTACTGGCCTGGCATATGTACTACAGCGTCTCCAGCGCTTTCGAACGGCAATGGCCGTGGCTGTCTCCTCCTGATTGGTGGAGTTGGCCCAATAGCCGTAGCGCCACCGTCCTGATGTCAGGACAGTGTTCAAATCTGGATCAGTTTTTATCAGATCCGTTGCAGCCCCTTTTTTAGAGATTTGGGTATGGAGGAAAATAGAGAGGGTTGTGTTTTCTGACACTTGGTGAGTTCCCTGGAACACCGGGGACACATATTCATGTATAAAAGACGTACAAAAGTGCATTTTGCATGATAGGTCCCCTTTAAGATCTTAAGTCATAATAACATGATTGTAGAGTAGTCAATAACTTTTCTAGGCCTTCACTGTGAATGCAAAGCAATCCCAGAGTTATTACAGAATAGTGTTCCCTGGTTTTGTTCACATTCTGATTTCGCTAAAAATAAAATGGCCAACATACTTTTATATCTGAAGCTTAAAAATATCTGCAGCCAAGAAGATGACCTTAATTTACGAGCCACTCAATAAATGTGTCACATGAATGTTAATGTCCTTACTTCTAGAGATGGATGACCTTGTACTGTTTTGAACAGTTTCTTGCCAAACAATAAACACCTGGTTTTGGGTTATTAACTAAAAAAGGAATGATGCCGGTTTCTGCAGGGATTGAACAGCCTCTCCAATAACTAGGTCAGCTTTTCACTGACCTTGCAGATGAGTATGAGTGTACACGGGAAGATTAAAGTGTCACACTCCCTTGACACGGAGAGATTACAGTGACACCACCTTCATACTTTGAGGGCAGAGTGCAGCCAAGTGCAGGACAACAGGTGAGGTCAGACACAGTATAACTATCACCATTATTAAAGATAACGAAATCTGGAAAAATACTGATGGGGGATAAATTAGGATACAGATGGTATTGTTCAATTTCCAATTTGAAAACAGAAACGAAATAAATGACTTAAGGAAAAAAACTTGCATGTGTATTAAAACGGTTTTTCCATATTCAATAAATCCCCAAATAGTTTCATTTTATGGGCCACTGGTGGACCAGAACCTCCAGCTGGATAGGTTTAAGGTTAGGTCAATTAATATTCTGTCCTTTGGCGTGCATGCATATTAACATAAATGACATATTACTCTTCTAGCTATGACAAGGGAATGGCAGGGATTACTTTTCTCTCATTATCTTGATGTGCAGTTTGGCAGTGACTGCATAGCTGCTAAAGACCTTGGATCATGTTAATCTATGGCTCCCATTGGTGGCGCAAGTGAGCTGAAGTGCACCTGAAAATCCTGACTGACCCGAGGGAGGCCTTAGTTTGATACAATTGGGCACCATGCATGTAATAGAGAATCAAAATGTTTTTTATTAGCAAATGCTGCGTGAAAGGGGAACACATAACCACCATACGAGACGGAACTAAAATACAATTTCACTCACTGTTACCTCAACATCAAGAGGCAGATGGAGAGTGTTACCGTCCTAACTCACACAAACACCTCCTAGAGGATTTGTTGAGGTTACATCTAGGGATGGAAGTTGACTGCATTTCTATAGCATTATTTGGTCTACCGAGCAGTAAAATTGTTTAAAAAAAACGTACTGCTTTTTCAACAATCTAAGTTGCAGGAGAAACTGCATGTTCAGGTTTCTAAATTAGATTAAAGTTGACTTTAAGAGCTGGAAAGCTTATTTGAACTGTTGTTCAATGTCACTTATGTTTCTACTTTAAGCAACAATTCCATCTAACACTAATTCTATCAATATAATGCAAAACTAGGTGGCGACAATAAGTTAATATACATTTCTTAAAGGTCACCTATTATGCAAAATCCACTTTTTCATGTCTCTCATACATCAACATGTGTCCCCTCTGTGTAAAGAGATTCTGAAAGTTTCAGGAACAAAGATTCACTCTCTGTTTGTCCTGATTCATTTATATAAAAAATGAGCTGATCAGATTTTGGCCACTTTATGATGTCATAACGATTTTTTGGCTTGTGTAACCATTAGCCAATCACTAACCAAGGTAACTCCCCCCACACATTATCACCTGAATCTCCTCCTTTGTGTTCTTTTTAACCAAATATCTCTCAGAGGGGCGTGGGGAGGGGCTCCTTATTTTCATCTAAAGTAACAGACAGAGAATCAGCACTTTGGAAACAGGGCTGAAACAGAGGGGATTATGGGATGCTGCAATGATCTGTTTGGTGTTTGGAGCCAAACACTTCAGAGACATGTTT